CTCATTATAGTCATGACTCATGACCCTGGACAAAATCTCATCAATAAATTTTAGTATGAAAATACTTACATGTCCGGCAGTCATATAATTGGTACATTTGCATATACAAGTCATTGAACAAGGAAGCTATCATTTATATACTGACATTTTAAAGCATACTTTTAAATAGGAAATGAAGCAGACAATCAAGGCTCAAAGCAGAAGGGTGTCTTCTAAAGTAATTTCTACTGCCTATGTTAGTGTACAAACATAGCTTATTTTTGTTTCTTGTGACATTCATTCTATTAATTATTTTATTTTAAAGTGAGACACCCTGGAAGGAAACCAGTCTCCAGGAAATGTGCACAGCCATAGCATCACAATGATTCTAGACTTTAATGTGGTTAATTATGGAACACATTTTAGCATTTTAAGTGTTCCTCTCCAGGCCTCTCATAACAATTGACAGACAATTTCTCGTACCTCTGGAGTGTTCTCCTTTGTTGCTTAAAAGAGGAATAAGTGGCAGCAAGCAGGACTGTACCCCATTTTCACAAATGAAAGGCTCTAACAGAAACATTAGTGGGACAGGAAAGAAGCAGTCCCTGTTTGTTCCTACTCTTTTTCTCTTTCCAAAATGAAATATATATTGTTTAGCCCTACAGCATGTCACACACAAATACTAACAAGACAAAAAGTACATTTCAAGCCACATCTATGCGGAGCTAAACCTTACACTTTAGCCATCAAAATTCTAATTTCTCTTTAATTGTTCAAATAACAATATCAAATATAAACAAAAGCCTCAAGTAACTGCTGGAGAACTTCAACCAGAACTATTCCTATCAGACTAAATTCAAGAAAATTCTTTTCCTTTTAAGAGAGTATAAAAATGCAATCCAAGTATATTCCCCTATTTAATAAAATAAAACCAAGGAATTAAATGATGTACCTATCACTCATATCTATTTACTTATATAATTTTTCCTTCTACTAATTCATTTTGGGTGGCCTTGCTCTTCCAAGCAAAAGGAGATTAAAAGAAAGGCAAATTAATCCTAAATTAATTTAGAGAGCGCTCCTAAATTTAAAAAAGGGGCGGGTTGTACTTCTACAAACCTCACTACTGGAGGGAGTAACAGCTGAATATATCATGGATCTGAATTTATTATGACTAGACGTTTCTAAGTTTAACATTAAGGGTAGTAGCTCAGCTCTACTCAGAACAGATTCATTGAAATTAATGGACCTAAGTTAGCCATATCCATTAATTTCAAGGGGCCTACTCTGAGTGAGAATAGCATTAGATTTCACCCTAAATTTAAGCAGACAGCAAAGAATAAGAGTGGGTGATACATAAACCTCAAGCTAGGTAATGTGTAGTGAGACTACCAATACAGTTGTACCTTGGTTGACGAACGCCTTGCGAGTTGAATGTTTTGGCTCCCGAATGCCACAAACCCAGAAGTGAGTCGAACAGACTTCCGGAAGATTCCCTTTGACTTCCAAGGTACCACTGTATATAGGTTCTATCCTTACATTTGAAAAGATTATAAGACTAGGGATCCAGAAACAAGGCATAGTATAGCCTACATCATGGGTAGGCAAACTAAGGCCTGGGGGCCAGATCCAGCCAATCACCTTCTAAATCCAGCCCGCGGACGGTCCAGGAATCAGTGTGTTTTTACATGAGTAGAATGTGTCCTTTTATTTAAAATTCATCCCTGGGTTATTTGTGGGGCCTGCCTGGTGTTTTTACATGAGTAGAATGTGTGCTTTTATTTAAAATGCATCTCTGGGTTATTTGTGGGGCCTGCCTGGTGTTTTTACATGAGTAGAATGTGTGCTTTTATTTAAAATGCATCTCTGGGTTATTTGTGGGGCCTGCCTGGTGTTTTTACATGAGTAGAATGTGTGCTTTTATTTAAAATGCATCTCTGGGTTATTTGTGGGGCTTGCCTGGTGTTTTTACATGAGTAGAATGTGTGCTTTTATTTAAAATGCATCTCTGGGTTATTTGTGGGGCCTGCCTGGTGTTTTTACATGAGTAGAATGTGTGCTTTTATTTAAAATGCATCTCTGGGTTATTTGTGGGGCATAGGACAGTGGACCGGCCCCTGCTGAAAAAGTTTGCTGACCCCTGGCCTACATGATTTATGAGGCCACATTTTTCCCCAGGAGCCAACTACTGCTATGTTTAAAAACAAAGGTTTGTTCCAAGATACAAGGTATAATTCCATACAGAACACAAATGAAACACAAGAAATATCTATTGATATCCAATAACATTTCTAGCATTTCCTAAAAAAAGTTGCTTGGACAGGCCCAATCTACAGCTGGTATAGAAAAAAAGTCAATTTACTCCTTCAAATATTTGACTGGTAAAGTAACATAGCATCAGTTTCTTTCATACAATTCTGTTCACTATTAAGTTTGTTAATGATGTTGAAACAATGCAACTAAATTTTAAGCTACTATTATCAAGAACTGGACAAACAAAGTGATGCAAATAGAATTGAATAATGCAAATACAGTGGTACCTCGGGTTACAAATTTAATTCATTCCGGAGGTCCATTCTTAACCCGAAACCATTCTTAACCTGAGGCTCACGTTCGCTAATGGGGCCTCCCGCTGCCGCCGGCGTGTGATTTCCTTTCTCATCCTGGGGCAAACTTCTCAACCCGAGGTACTACTTCCGGGTTAGCGGAGTTTATAACCCGAAGCGTTTGCAACCCGAGGTACCACTGTACAGTTGAATGGCAACAATATTCAAGAATCAAATAGTTCTTCTTGGCTTTCATTCAGAAGTCATGGGTTAGCCTAAACATGGAGTTGCCAAAGTAGTACATATGTACACCATGGACCCTTGAGGACTTCCCCTAGTGCCCATTAAGCCTCTAATTCTCTCTCCATTACTTTTACCTCCATAATGAGGTACAAAGGGTGGTTACTTCCCCATTTCCATCCCTGAAAAGCACATGGAGATGAAGGTGCAGAAGAATGATTCCCTTTCTCACTTCTTCAGTTCATTTCAAGGCTCAGATCAGTACCTGAGTAAATGAGAAAAAGTGAAAGAAGGAAGTAGGAGTGAAGGGAGAAAAATGAAGCAAGAAGGCCAAAGGTGGAGTACAGTAGAAGTCAAGAGAGAGAAGTGCCAAAGAACAGAGAAAGATGGTGTGTGTGAGAGTATGCATCAAATCTAATAAAACTGATCCTATTGAAAATGCATAGTTTTCCACAAGTTCCCACCCTCCCCCTGCATCCAATCACAGATCATGTCTATCTCCATTGAAAATCATGGATATTATGCTTTCCAGCACTACCATGATGCAAAAACATAGATTAGAGACACAGATCCTTATGAATCCTCACAATTTTTACCAGGGCTCTTTTTAATACCATCACCAAACATGTCACCTCTGTGGGCACAGGTGGGATCTGTAATTTGTTGGAGCTTCTATTGTCATCCTATGCAAAATTCATGAAGATTCATCCTGATCTTCTGTGTTTTTATTTTTGACTATGCAGTGCAAACATGCAAGCTTTAATTTGATGGTAGTGTTTGGAGATTCTGTTTAAAACCTTGCAAATTCAAGAGGAAAATTCTACTGGAACTAGTTTTTTACCCATACTCATGGAAAAGCGAAGAGTGTGTATGCATTCTCTTTTTCCCTGTCGGAAGGGGCATGAGAAACAACCAGACTGAGCAGTATCCAGGGCACTCTTAAAATCCAAGTGTGCCCATGGGTCCAAAAAGGTTTTCAATCTGTGGACAATCAAAAATGTTGTTTAAAATGAAAGCTAACCACGGAGAGACAGAACATTTGAGGTAGAAGTTAAGAGCTTTTAAAATACGATACCTGTTCCTGAATAAAACTTTCACTAAGGAGAAAGGAGCACTTATTTATGCCTTTACTATCAAACAAGAGTTTGTTGCAACTAAAAAAAGGTAGATTGCTACCTCCATACGGGTACAGTGGTACCTCGGGTTACAAACGCTTTGGGTTACAAACTCCGCTAACCCGTAAGTAGTAACTCAGCTTACAAACTTTGCCCCAGGATGGGAACAGAAATCGCGCACGGGTGGCAGCGGGAGGCTCCATTAGCTAAAGTGGTACCTCAGGTTAAGAACGGACCTCCGGAACGAATTAAGTCTGTAACCCGAGGTACCACTGTATTTGACAATCGTCAGGCGCTCAGATGCTCCATCAAATAATAGGTAAACAATCAACTGGCATTTTAACCTTCTTTTTCATCAGCTACAGAAATACAAGAAACCAAAACATCCTGCAGTGCTGAAAGTACAAAGCACACAATAAGCCTCCCCAGGAATTATTTCTTTACACTATCAGGGACAGTGTCACATCTGTCATAAGCAGATTACCAAAACTCACCATCCATTCCAGAATGAAAACAGACATGTCCTCCAAGTTATAGGCAGATTTGACAAATTAACTCAACTTGCTCATTTCCAGTCAGTTCTATTTACGTCACTCTTCTGATAACAAAGTGATTCAGAAACAAGTCTTCAGAATCCTTAAGATATGAAGATGTACCAACAGCAACGTAAGCCTCAAAAATCTGCACTGCTAGAAAATAAATTTCCAATGCGAGATTTGAGGATTCAAAATATATTAGCCACTTCTTATTAAACTTTGGTGCCAATTCATTCCTTTCCAGTAAACTCGCAAACCATCAGATACCTACCACTTGGCCAAATATTTCCCTCACACCCCCCCCCAAATTACCTTCCTACTGCACTTACAACAAAACTGAACCTGTTAGTTTCCTGTTCTTGACTTCAGCTAGTCAGATTTTTAGCCTTATTGTGAACTGTAAAGCCTAGCCAAATTCAATGATAAAACAAGAATTATATAGAGGCAACTCCCCTTTTATGCAGGGCTTGCGTTCCGAGGCACTACGCACATCCATGGGACATACATAAGCCCATCCCACCCCCTTCTGGTGTGAAAAATGGCACACACGTCAGCAGTCGCACAAGTGCCAAACACGTGCAAATGTGGAGTTGCCAGTATATGTATGTTTCTCTCTCTCTCTCTCTCTCTCTCTCTCTGTGTGTGTGTGTGTGTGTGAGAGAGAGAGAGAGAGAGAGAGAGATCTAACAAGAAAGCATGTATAATACAGCTGCCTCACACATTTCAAGATGGAAGCACATGAGAGGAAGTGGGCCCACCTCTTGCACTCCAGTGAGGAAAAGGAACTGAAGTCCTAAAAGCACAGAATACCATCACACCCACACCACCAATCAGCTAAGCATGACTATACAGCTACTGTGAAAATCACTTGTCAAGTAAAGAGAAAGAAAGGCAACATGGAAATAGCTGGAAGCTAGGCAAGAAGGTGGAGCACTGTGAGAGAAGAAGCAAGTATATGCATGTGTATCATGTACAGAATGAAGAAGTAGCAATGGTGGCAAAGGAGTGTTCTTGGACAGGTGTAGGTAAAAGAACACAGACATTGTTACAATAGCTTCTGCAGAATCAAATTCTGTTGAAAGTAGAAGGCTTATTTCCATTTTAAATGAACGCTTTAGAATCATTCAGAATTGTGGTCTGCACTCAACCAGTTTTTGTCATTTTTAAGTAATTACAAAATAAACCATGTACACAACAGTACACATACCAATTAGTTTTATTTAAAACCATTTCAGGTTTGGCATAATTTAATAGAAACTTTGTTTTACTGTTGTAAAGTCAAAATCATAGTCTACATATACAAAGCTGCTGATATTCATGTCATTTTGTAGTGCAGTTTGGCTATGCACATTTCCCTATAGTAAATACCAGCGACAGCCATGATTTATTCTGGCTTATGCAAGTCCCCTCCACAACCTCTGCAACAGAACTACTACTCTTGTCTCATAAGGATATATCCATAACTAATCCAAAATAATATTTATAATATGCAGTTAAACTGTGCAATACCAATGTCAATAAAAATCTAAATTCTGCATAGAGCCAAGGTGATGCAGTGCCACAACAGGTCTGAGGAAGGGGTTGTTAAAAGAAACAGGCCTAGCTTCTAAACAAGCCTTGCAGATTTTCTAATGATAATCATAGTTCATCTAACATTCAGGCCACTGAATTACAGTAGCTGTTATGTGCTTTTAGTTTGGCAATCCTTTCACTTCTAAAACTTGTAAAATCATACCAATCTTACTATGTTAGATACACCAAATGTCCACTTAGCAATTCTTGTTAATTTCTAATTAAATATTACTGGCCCAAAACACATATGAAATAAAACTGTCTTGATTGAGATCTGAGCAGTTTCCAGATTCTCAAGCTACGAACAACTCTCAATTTACATGCATTTAACTTGTGCACATTCAGTTTCACGCGCTTGGCAAAAATAATTTTAAAAATTAAAAAGAGGATGGATGTCAGACACAAAATACTATAGCAATCCCACCCACTATAGCACCTAATGTGTTTTGGCGATTTTGGCTTTATATAATATCCTTGGAATGTAACCCCTGCATAAGTTGAGTGTCACCTGCACTCAACTCTTGTCTTGCAAAGATTGTTAAAAATAATACACGTTGCAGTTTTTATGACATAGTAACTTGCAGTAGTACAAAAATTAATGCGGAAAACAGCCTTCTTTCTCTGTAATAAAAACATGAGTTAAGAATTTAAGACCAAAGCTGCATTAACTGGTGGCAGCAGAGAAGAATAATGGAAAGTAAAAGTAGCAACATAGTACAGAAACAGCCTTTCAAAATCCAAGGCAATAAGCAATGTTGGCAGTCGAGTAGGGAAGCAAAAATTGACACTTTCTGCCCCCTGCAGTTTATATTGATATCTGGATTTTTAAGATGCAAAGCCTAGAAAGAAATAAAACAGGGAAGCAGATATAAAAAAATCAAATGATACAATCTTTCAGTTATTTATTGGATAGTCCATAGAGTAAAATGTAATTTTGCAAGGCTGTGTTCCTTTGACAAGGACTGTTTTTAATTACTGAATCTTATACCATCAATACTGCTGGAGACGGATTTTGGCAATTGTATGTTTCCTTTCCCATCACTGAATCTTCAGTGCCTGACCTCAACCATCTCAGCACCCATTTACACTATTTTTTCTTTCCATTTTTGCATACCAAGTACAATAAAGCAGTAGAAATCTCTCCTACGAAGAATGGCCTCCAAAATAAACATCTACTGACTCCAACACTGCAGCATCCTTCTAGAGAACAGGTTAGCTATCAGGCTACTTGAGCAGAAAATGCTTCCTCTTCATCAAATGCATACGTATTTTATCCCTCCACCCCACATGATGAAATTATGGGTGCAATCAACAAAAGGCAACCTTCCTTGAAATTCCAAAAGTTTGGCTTTAGTGCCTAAGCTTACAAATGAAGAAAATTATTAAATTATGGCAGTTTTAAAAAGAAAAAGGCTCAAATTAACATTGTTCTCTGCCTCCAACATTATAGTAAGAACCATTATTGTATTACTTCCCTCAACAGTGTCAAAGTACTTCAAAAATTATTAGTGTAAAGAAACGTAGTAAGATTTAGAAACTCATTCTTTTGAACCATCCCAAAAGGTACAAAGCAATGCCTGTCCCAATCCTAAATGCAATTATCTGAATCTGCAGCACAATGAGAGGTAGAAAAACTGGTAGAAGAACTGTAGCCCTTTGAAACGCAAGCAAATATTCATATTTATGAATTTTACCTATATGAATTATGAATTTTTCCTATATAAAAGAACTAGCAAAAAGAGGTGTGGGCTAATATATTTTCCCCTGTGATGCTAGTTTTCTGCAGTCTGAAGTGGTCCAGTCCACTCTATCATCCCATTCTGCTGCATATGTAGACCAAGTCTTGGTAATTTGCAGGCAGGTTTTAGGGCCTAATGGTGCATAAAAACAACAAACTCCCAAAATGCAAAATCTACAAACAGCTAAGTAATCATTAGGTATGAAACACACACTTGTAGTAGCTGTTATTTTTATGAAAAAAGCAGGTACACTGATACTTCTTGCATCATCAAACCAAGAGAAATGCCTGCCTCTCTGACACCAAATCAGCAACGGTAAGCACCTAACCTTCCCATATATACCTTCAAATAGTCCTCCATATAACACTACACAAATCTAACATATGCCATTCTCATGTAAGCCACTGGTATAAATCACTATATTCAGTTGACATAAAAAAATTTAACTCAAGCACATCAGAATCTGAAATTTGCTCATTCCTGACACATAGATGTTTGGCACTGACTTGACATCTAGAATTTATAAAAACGTATTTTTCCTGTTGTATATGTTTTGTACCATTGATTTACTGATTGTGTTGTTTCTCAGTTTGCAAAACTTGATTTCATCAACCTCTACATGAGGTACTATGAGTAAGACCCACTCAAAAAGCTGTTGGAGACTAGTGGAGAGGGAAAGAAGGAAGAGGGAACATATGTAACAGAGAAGAGAAATGTTTACAGAACTGAATTATCAAGAAAGCAACAGAGATAGTTTTTCTTCACAGTGTATATTTAGTTTGAATTCCCTCTAGACTAACTATGCAGTGAAATTAAATGTGACCGAAGCACTTCCCATCTCTGTGTATAAATTCTATTTTCCCTCACATACTCCTTTGGTCCCCCCTAACACACTCAGATGCTGTCCCATACGATTTTTAAGATTATTATTTTTTTTAAATTCACATGCATCAATGGTGTGCAGAATTATTTCCACCTATTGTGTCCTTGGAAACAGGGCTTGCTTCCTCTGCCTGCCTAGGAACTCCAAGTCCAGTCACAGCTTCTACCCCAATAACTTGCTCAAACCGCAGGGCGACCTCTCCACGCCCATCCCACTCCCCCAACCCTACCCCTTCCTCTTCCCTTCTGCAGCCTACACCCACCCACCTTTCCTACCCCCTCCAAACCATCCTTCATAAGTAACTCAGCTCGATAGAGCCACCCGCTGGGGGCAAGGATTACAGAAAGCCACTTCCCCCTTTTTCGGTGTTCCTCCACTTAACTTTTAAAAAAGGCAGCTATTTCCGTGTCAAACACAGCCCACGATTGAGAGAGGGAGTCTGAGGAAAATACACGATTGAGGCAGTCTGAAGAAAATACCTCAGCAATGCCTTCCCTACCCGAACACACACACAAGGGGGGGGGAGCCCACAAGTGCACAAAAGCAGGCCGGACATGCTATTTTGCCCTGTCTGGGCAGCTCTCGCTTCTCCCTCCCTCCTGCTCTATCCCTCCCCTTCCCAGGCGTGCTCTGCAGTTGTCCGATTCCGGGAAACCCTCACGCCCTCCGACACCCACAACAGGAAAGGAGGCGGCGGCTGCTTCGGCCACCCCCATATTTCAAAGCCTCGACGTCTGGGGACTGGGAGCCCCATCAGCATTCCTTCTCCTGCTCTCCCCACGGCCGAATAAAAGCGGGTTTAGGGGCAGGGCAGGCAGAGCAGAAATTTTTGACAAGCGATGCGGGACTGATCCCGTGGGGGAAGAGCTAAATGCATATTTTGGAAATGGGGAGGGGGGGTTAGAGGGAGGAATCCTGCCCCCCAGCGGGGAATCGCAGCAACCGAGCATTAAAGGGAGAATCTGCCTGGACCGCTCCGTGCCGAGCCTGCCCCGCTTTTGCTGCTGGGGGTTCGCATGGCCATTTGCGCGCCCGTCGCTCTTTCCATACACACATCTACCCCAAACCCGCTTACTCCCCCTTACCTTTCGCTTCCTGGTCTCGGCCGACCCGCTCCACACGAAGCACTGGTAGATCACCCTCAGGTTCTGCTTCCAGTTCTCCACCTTGAAGCCGGTCACATGGCAGCACCCGGCGGCCGGCGGACTCATGTCAGACCCCCCCACATCAATCCGCCCGCCCCGCCGGCACGGCTTCTGCTAGGCTGCGGGAGGAGCAGGAAGAAGCAGCAGCAGACGAAGGGGGTGGAGGGGGGGGAGGTTGAGGCGGGGGAATCCCAAATCGGAGCTGGGTGGGAGCGAAGACCGGGAAGGGGAGCCGGGACGGGAGGGAGGGATATTGTCGGGGTGGTGGGGACGACAGGGAGGGGAAGGAGGGGTCTCCTCAGTCCGCCGCTGGCTGGCTCCTTCGTCGCTGAGGGGGGCGACTGCGGGCCGCCACCCCCCTCAGGGCTGCTGCGCGGCCTCCGCCGCCCCCGCCGACTGCAGTGGTGGCGGTGCGCGGAGGGGGAGGGGAGCGGGCGGCGTGAGGGGGGGAGGGGAGCGGCTCCTCTTCTTCCTCCTCCTCCTCCTCCTCGGATTCCTCCTCTTCTTCCTCCCTCTTCACTCTCCTCCTGCGCCTCTTCTTCTCCTCCTTCTCCTTCGCCGCCTCCTCGCCGCCGCTTTCGCCTCAACCCCGCCCCGCCCCCGGCTGCTCCGAACAAAGCGCCGACGCCGACGACGCCACTGAGGAGGCAGAGCGCCACAAAGATGAGGGCAAAGAGAGAGAGGCGGGCTGAGGAGAATCTTCGCTGCCCGCCGCCGCCGCCGCCGCGCGCTACCTCATGGAGGCCTCACGGGAGAAGGAGGAGCGGGGACGAGGGGGAGAGAGAGGGGGAAGCCCTGGCGGCGGCGGCGGCGGCGAGGGGCGCGGGTGCCGCTGCTGGGCGGCCGGCTCGGAGGGGTGTGTTCTTCGCCTCCGGTTCCCCCTCAAGTCAGTCAGCCTCGCGAGCTCGCCGGGGTTCGTGTCTCTTTAAATCTCTCTCATCTCATTCCCTTTCTCGCCCCCCACCCCTTTTCTGCGATGTGTAATGGTCCTCTCCTCAAAAGACGGAGCGAACTCAATCGAAGCCCCGCCAGGCCCGTAGCGGGACAAACCAACTGGGAAAGGAGCGGGGGTGCGGGGGGGGAGAGGGAGAGAGAGAAAAACGAGAGAGAGGGAGAGAGAGAGAACAGCGCTTCGCCCATGAACCGCAAGGAGGCCCGGCGGGTGCGGCCCTATTGGTAGCCGTCGGCTTATGTCCCTCCTCTCTCCCGTTTGCCATTGGCCGCCGCCGCCTTCCCTTACAGCGGGAGGAGGCGAGGGAAAGAAAAGGCGGGTTCGCCTGGGCCCGTCCCACCCTCGGGCCCCGTTGATTGACAAAGGAAGTTGGGAAACCGAAAAGGAGGGGGAGGGCAAGGGGGGAAAGGAGCACATGCCGCGGTGCGGGGTTGTGGATTGGAGGGGCCGCCCGCCGCTCTCATGCCACCGGGTTGCGGATTGGCTGGGGAAGCGATGTCAGGGCAAAGGGGCCGCCTTCCCCCAGGCAGCAAGCAGGATGTGCGGGATGGGGGGGGGGGACACAGAGCGCCGCTGCTGTCATATCCGCTTAACTTTGCAGCTTCTCTGTTACCCCAGTGATTCCTTGCAAGGAGGGAGGAGCTGAGCTGGATGATGAGGATGATGCTTAATTAGCCCTTGTCAAATGCCCCGTTTTCTTCTTGCCCGGCTCCGGTTCTGCAGATTCAAACCTCAGCCCCGCTTGCCGACACACCAGTGCAGCCAGAGCAAGCCCTGCTGGGCAATTGCGTTTCCTCCACCCAGCTGACCTTGCTGCCGCCTCCCTTGTGGTTCTCCACGTGCTGTTTTTGCGTTCTCCTGGGCAACTCTTCCTTCACACGAGCAATGGAAGAGTAGAGGCTTCCCTCCCTGCCGTCGCCGCTGTGCCTTGCATTTGTTAAATCTAAAGGATTTCCTTCGGGTGGTGTGAACATATACAGTAGCGGGAAGAACCGTTTCTCCGCCTTCCTGAACCATGCCCCACATATAATAGTTTCTATATACAGTACTGTGTGTATGTATATATGTGTGTTTGCCTATAAAATACAGGAGTGCATTCGGAGTTAATAAGGCAGCAGAGTTCTTGTTCCGCAGGGGCAGGAGTGTTTAGTGCATTGCAGCAAACAGCAAATAGTATTTTAGGCATCTCAAAGACTTTTAACACAAATTTTATGATGGCATGCCTTCATGTACTAGCACAAAGTTAGTACCTGGGGCCTCCAGTGGGTTGAGGGTTTGGGGGTGTGATTAATAAGATGTCACTTGTGTTTCAAAGCCCTGTGATGTAAACATAAAACGCTCACTTTTGTTGAACCAGACCTTTGATCCATCTAGCCCTCTTGTCTCCCCTGGCTAGACATGGCTGTCCAGAATCTCAGGTAAAGGAGGAGTGGGTTTTTCCCCTTAGCCTGCCACTGGGGGGGGGGTCCTTTAAATGCCTGGATGGTGAACATTTTCCCATTTGAGAGCCACATTGCAGTGGTGGGTTAAGAAGCAAAAGTGAGCAGAGCGACAGACATGACTACTTGTGTAATAGACTAGATGCCAGCCATACAAAAGTCAACGGTTCCAAACTTCCGATTGATAAGAACACCATATCTCTTCATCCTGGCACAATTCAAGGACATCTTTCAGCCTTGCAAAAATCCTCAAGGACTGTGCAGAGCAGGGCCAGTGAGGGCTGTGGCTTGTGGAAAGGTTCCAAGGTCTGGAAAGAGGCACCTGGGTAGGGGCTGAGGATCCCACCCCTGCCTTAACTGGAGATCATATTTTTCCTTGGACGTTCAGCATACAAAATGATGTGCTTTGGCACCTCCACACATTTCATGTACAACTTATTAGTATGCCAGCCACCCTCCAATAATGGCATATGCCACAGGTGGTATAAATAGGGCTGTTTTATTTTCATAACAATACTGAGAGGTGGGCTAGGATGAGAAGCTGAGTACAAGCAATACTTTTAAACACTTCCAGAGCACTCAGAATTCTGGGCTCTGTAGTTTACCCTTCGCAGAGTTACAGTTCCCAACAAACCTTAACAAACTACTTTGGGACAGGCTCGCTCTGGAATTTAGGATAGCACCAACAATTCAATTTTTAATTTATTTATTTTTAATCAACCAGACTTTTTCAGAGTAGCATTGTTGTACATTGTTCCTGTTGGCTGTACAGATGGATTTAGTGTATTGTTATGAGTTTGCGAGTGCCAGACCCCTCTAATCCCTAGATCCAACAAGTGCTAAAATCTAATCAAGCCAAGCTAGTTTCCTGGTGAGGTGATAGCCTGGGTGATGAACCATTAAGGGGCTCTGTGGGAGACAGCAGATAGGTGGAGATAAAGCCAGAGATTGCAGAGGTAGCAGTGATGTGACCTAGAAGTAAAGCAGAAAGTTTGAGAGAGGGTCAAAGAACAATATTTGATTTCTGTTTGAATCCAAAGCTGCAGCTATGGCAGAAACAGGAAGCTTTGGGGTGTTGATGCTATGAAACCCTCCATCACGGACTCAGGTTGTCTATACGTGTAAATAAAACATATAGTATAATGACACCACAGTCTTCTCTGTGCCTCATTGCCAAAAGGAAACACGAACCCGGGGTAAGCACCTGTAACCCCTGGAATCTTGCACTGCTCAGAGATTAAGAGTGGTGTGCAACAGTGTTTTTATGCTTTGGGTTTTGTTTATTTCATATTTGTACACTACCACAATGTTTTAATGAAGCATGGTTTGTACATTATTTAAATAAATATAAACAATCTGTTTCAGCTGTCCTTGGGTACGCTGAGATCACCACTCAAGTCCCTCACCTCACCTGCTAAATACCTGTATAGCAGCTGGCTATTGAATGCAGGTGAGCAAGCTTAAAAAATGTCAGCAGCTACCATTCCTGGAAAATACAGAATGATTGCAATGAACTGAATAGATTGCCACCATGCATTTAGTAAAGAGCAAGTGTGCTCATTTTTTTTTTTTACAGGGTAGAAGAGTACCAGCCAGGATAGAGCCACTCCCTATTTTGCATGGCAATAGCTGCCCTGTTCCATATTTGTTGTGGCTGAGGTTGTAAACTCAATACACGTCTCTGGGAAGTACGTCTCACCAGGATGTATTTCTGAGCAGGCAAGTATAAGCTTGCACCTTCAAAGTACGGTATTTCTTGTGAGCGCTGCAGAGGTCCATGCGACTTCTACTTTCAGAATTGTTCCAGGTCCTCACCCACAATCTTTCCATACACCAAGGTGTGTTTCTGCAAATACCTGCCTGTCATTTGAACCCGTACAATCAAGGCAAGCATAGTACTGCTGAACAGCCGTCAAAACAAAAAACAAGGGGGAAACAGTGGCATGTTTTTGTCACCCAGTTAATTGTCACATCGCAGCCTTCTTCCTGTTTATTTTGGAGTCTGCAGGTTTGTGCTTGTTGAAGTTACACTTGGGCTCAGAAAAAGTTTCTACCTTGCTGAGGCAGGCCTAATGTTGGGGTGGCGGAGGGAATATGGGGAGGCAGAAAATCGACACCACTAGGCCTTGGGGAACATACTGAAGAAATCCTGAAACTACTGAAAAATTAGCTGTGTGTTAGGAGACAACAAGGCAGATGGATTTTTATTAATTCTGCCTCCCTCTTGCACCACTTCTACAATTGACTGTTCCTTCCCAACACTCCTGCTAGGCTCCCAGATCAGGTGTAAGGCTGGCTGGAGTGGAGAGAGGCAGAGGTACACTTAATCTTAGACTCTGGACTCAGCGCTTTTACTTGGGGGAAGAGCTCTTTAGATGGTAAGGTGGCCTCGCTGTGTTTGGGGGACCTTGTGTTCCTTCTGCTGAGTGTAGCCCTGGACACGCGTTCCCCAAAAGCCTGTCCTGATGGTGCTACAGGGGGAAAACGACCTGTGCAAGGATGTTGTGGGTTGGGAATGACAGCATCAACCACCAGCTAATTCTTCCCTGCAAATGCGGCTTGTTCAATGTGCTGTTTGGCTACGAAAAGACCTCTTTGTGAGGAAGCAGGTCAGTAAAAGCTCATGCAACGTTTGTGATGTTAACTCTTTAGTCAAAGGAACAAACAGCTCTGGACACTTCTTCGTAAGCCTTCGTGATTCGTCTAACACTGGAGGCAGGGAGCAGGTCTTGTGATTAACACTCTACCTTTTCGCCCATGAATCGAACACAGCATCAAATGATGCAAGATACCAGATTCTGGCTACAGAGCTAGATCTTCTTAACTCAATACTGATGGCAGCCTATCTGATCCGAAACACCTCGTCACCTGAGGAGGACATTCCAAACCCTGTCCCACAGCGCAGTAAAAATAGTATATTGTGATTATTTAATGGTGTTAATTAATCACTTTATACAAAAGGAAAAGTTTCAAAGCTGCTCGACAAGATAAAATACTACAGGTGAAACGATTTAAACCAGAGAAGTTAAAACAATAGATGCAAAAAGACATAAACTGCTCACGCAATAACATATTAATAAGGAAAAGTCTTTGCAACCCCGTTAAAGAAATGAGTACCATCATAGGGGCCCACTTAATTACCAAAGGTCAGAGAAAATGTAAATGTCTTAGCCTGGCGCTTGAAAACTTAAAATGATGGTGCCAGCCGCGTTTCCCTGAGGAGAGTATCACAGGAAAGGCCTATTTTTGTGTAGCCACCCTTGGGTGGGGCACAAAGAGAAGGGCTTCTGAGAGAGACGATGGCAGCATCCATACCCACCAACATTTCTCCAATGAAAATAGGGATGTCCTATTCCATAACAACAACAGCAACAACAATTTAAAGGACATGACTCCGCCAAAAGAATCCTGGGAACTGTAGCTTCCCTCTCACACAGCTACAATTCCCAGGATTATTTGGGGGAAAGCAATGTGCACTGAATGGACTTTAAATGTGTGGTGTGGATCTGAGGCCATGGAGCATTAACGCAGCCTGGAATTTCCCAGCGGTGTAGTCAGAACAGGATTTGGGGGCGAGAAAGCAGGCCCCATTCACTGGAGCAAGCAGTAAGACCACCAATCTCAGCAGCACCTGCTTACACATTTTGAAATAAGTTTGAAAGAAGATACGCATTACCATTGAAAGAGGCACAGGACCCAGACCCTTCAAGCGTCCCTATTTTCCAGGGACATCCCTAATTTAGAGAAGCCGTCCTGGTTTCTGATTTGATCCTGGAATGTCCCACTTTTCCTTAGGATGTCCCTATTTTCATTGGGGAAATGTTGGAAGGTATGGAGTTATTCAACCCCCGAGTGGTCTGAAGGCAATCCTGTATAGGGAAGTTTTTTAAATGTTTAATGTTTTATTATGTTTTTATATATGTTGGAAGCTGCCCAGAGTGCTGGGGCAACCCAGTAAAAAGTGTGGGGTATAAATAGTAAAATTATCATTATCCGATGGGACATCCCTATTTTCATCGGAGAAATGTTCAGGGTCTCAAATTTCCTAAGTGCAGCTCTGAAACTACATGTGGAAATGTGTCAAAGACCTGTGAAATGCTAGTATGTGAATAAATATCAGGGGTTTCCCCCCCTTCCTTTTTTTTTTTAAAAACCACACAGAGAAGAGAGCATACAAAACATGTGGTTAAAACAGCGACCTGAGGATCAGGGGTCCCTGCACTGAGCAGTCTCAGGCTATCATGTTGCACACCTGCACAAAAATTATTCCCCCCTCCCCATCTCCACAGGGAGGCAAACAACCACCCCCCCTCCCAGCTCCAGTAATCAGTAAGTCTTAATTCCCAGCATTTAAATCATTAGCTTTCAGGATTTTCCTGATTAATGAAGGGAGCTGGGTTTCACTGAGCAAACCCATTAAGGACTTGCTAATGCATGGTTTGATTTCACTGCCTGCAATTGAGCACATGGTTCCACAGTCCTTTGGGGACCACAGCAATTCATGCCGGGCTCAAGAGGAATCTCCAGACATCCAGGTCTCTCTCTCTCTCTGTGCGTTTTAATTCAGAAAGTAAATTCAATTCAATCTCTCAAACACACCAACTGTCCCTGTGTACCAAAGACAATCCCCCTGATTATGTGGTACCAATCTCTGAATTGATGTCCCTATCAGGTTATTATTATTATTATTATTATTATTATTATTATTATTATTATTATTGTTGTTGTTGTTGTTGTTGTAAAAACCCATTGTTAGCATGCATCCATTTCCATTGGCTTCCTTTCTGCTTTGTTTATCCAGATAGCAAATGCTGCCTTTAAAATCTGCAGGCACTTCTGTGCATGATTTTTGAAGCTTTATAAAGCACTTGGTTGATTCTGTATAGTTTTATATATCTACATTGCTATGTATTTCTATATATTAGATGGACTTGATTTTGCATAACTTACTTTATGGCCGCTTTAAAATAAATGGGGTGTGTGCGCTTAGAATGAGGAGGCCTCCAGATGTTAGTGGACTCCATCAATCCCAACCATGGCCAGTGGTGAGGGATGATGGGAACTGTAGTCCAGCACTTTCGAGAGGACCACAGGTTCCCCACCATTCTTTAAAGCTGTTGTGGTAGCTTTGCTATGGTCAGGTGTGCTGTGATTTCATTGCTGTTTTATTTGCCACTCAATATACAACACACAAACACTATAACAGTCTGTGTGGGGTGCCCTGCTCAAATCGGGACCCTTTCAGGGGTGTGGGATAGGGCCTCACTGTAAAGTTAAATATAATATGTAATTGAAGTATGGAGTATGTAAAACTAATAATCTTTTTTTTAAAAAAAGCTATGGTTTTCCCAGTAGTGATGTATGGAAGTGAGAGCTGGACCACAAAGAAGGCTGATCGCCGGAGAATTGATGCTTTTGAATTGTGGTGCTGGAGGAGACTCTTGAGAGTCCCATGGACTGCAAAAAGATCAAACCTATCCATTCTGAAGGAAATCAACCCTAAGTGCTCACTGGAAGGACAGATCCTGAAGCTGAGGCTCCAATACTTTGGCCACCTCATGAGAAGAGAAGACTCCCTGGAAAAGACCCTGATGCTGGGAAAGAATGAGGGCACAAGGAGAAGGGGACGACAGAGGACGAGATGGTTGGACAGTATTATAGAAGTGACCAACATGAATTTGATGAAACTCTGGGAGGCAGTGGAAGACAGGAGTGCCTGGCGTGCTCTGGTCCATGGGGTCACGAAGCGTCAGACTCGATGGCCCTTGTGGTCTCTTCCAACTCTATGATTCTATGATTCTATGACTAAACAACAAAAAGCCCTTAACAATTCTGAATCAGTTTTCCTGCGAGTTTGCCTTACCCCATATAAACCCATTCGACCACTTCAATCTCCTGAACTGACAGTGTGACAAGTGCCGGCTAATACGTGTTCTGCATTTGTAATTAATCTTTTTTTTTTTTTAGTACAGCAGACCTACACATTAGAACTCCCTATTGACACCAGGCAGGCACCTTCTCTATACTCTGTACAACAACTGCTTAAAACATTTTTGTTTAGACAAGCCTACCCAGATACGTAGAATATTTACGGTTTTAGATTATTGCTGGTTTTTATTTTTTTACAAAGGTTTGAAATAGTTGTTTTAAACTGGTTTTGCCAATAATTTTCCTGTTTTATTCTTGTTGCAAACCGCTTTGACTTTTTCCCTGCAACCACACAGGTTTTATGAAACAAATAAATTAAGAAAGCAGGCAGGCAGGTGGGGACCAGCTGAGGCTGGTGGTCTTGGGGCAGCATCCTGGCTGTGCTGAAGGTACAAGATGCACTTTAGTACGCAAAAAAACAAAGGCACTTTCAGAGTAAAGGGAATAGGCTGTACGTGCAACATACACATATAAAGCAGACACCCACACAATCTGGGGAATTGTAGTTTACTCTTCACAGAACTACAATTCCCAGCACCCTGAAGAAACGACATTTCCTAGCGTTCTTTGGAGGAAGTAATGTGCTTTAAGTGTCTGGTGAAATCACAGCCTTGCTGAGCAGAAACGGGTGTGCTTTGGGGCCCCCATGTGCTATAAGTGGTGCATGTTCCATCATTTGTGAATCATCAACCTTGTATAACAATGTTTGCCTGATTATGTCTCGGATCATCTTCTTGGTGCTAATATGATAGTTAATTTTTAAAAAATTAAAAAATCCAGACTTTTATTTCCTTGCCACAATGATCCTGGAGAGAGGAATAAACACTTTAATGGCCTTCTTTGCAGAGGGAAAAGAGACCTGAAATCCGTGGATGGTTGACAGCAATCCATTCCAACGCCTTTACCTGCTGGAAGCATTCGTGAAAATCAATGCAGAGTCTTGCAAAGGGGAGGGAGGCTGCAAAACAGGAAGGCACATTGACCTTGAAGAGGCACTCCTCTCTTGAATTTAAAAGCAGATACAAAAAAAACCTCTAGCTGCTAGTTTAAATTTCTTTAATCTTTCACAAAGAAAGAGGCAATGGTTGCCTTCCTGCATTTTTAAACTTCCCTTAAAGGCCTGCTGCCACCATCAGAGGTTGGGGATGGCGGGGAAGGTTCTTCTCCCCCTCCGCTGTCGTCTTTGAAGCTGTTTCCTTGTGGGAACAGAAAAACATGGAAAGAATTCAATCCCGTACCGCAGCAAAACAGCATCGATACATGCTTTGAAAACCAGAGCTTTAAAAAGCAGGCTGGCGGGTGGGGTGGGTGGGGGCAAGTGTGGGTGGGTTGCTAGCTCACCGTAGCATCCAATTATACCTGTCCTCTCTCTCCAGCATCAATAAGTATCCCCCCACAGGGATGGTGGAGGGAGGCAGAAGGGGGAGAGAGCGAGAGCTATTTATTTTTAAAGGCTCGCTGGGAAGAAATAGCTGCAGTTGAACCACGGATCCAAAGCGCCATCTCATGGGCAAAGCGCGCCGCGCTTCCTCGCCCGGATAATGCCAAAGGAAGGTTGCGGAAGGGCGGAATCCTTGAGAAAAAGCTCTGCAAGGCTGAGCATTTTCTGCAGCTCAGGAAATCCGTCGGCAGTTGTCTGGGGAACGCTGCGGTGTTGTACGAAATGAAGGGAAGCTCCGTCAAAGGAGCTCCGTTTGCTCAGATGGCGTGAGGTGATGAGGATGCAGTGGAGAAAATGGGAGAGGCCACAAGAACTGCAGCCCGACCATACAGACATAATCAATGTGATGCTTATGAATGTGTCTGTTTCACTGTCTGCACAACCAACGACGTGGTGCAGTCAATCGCAGTTTCCCAGTGCATGGCTGATCTTGCTGTGTTTAGTTTTCATCTCCCACAGTTGTGGCTGAACCCTGGTGGGGCAAGTGCTGGTGTCTCTTACCGCTCAGACATTGGGTTGCTGCATAAAAATACAGTGGTACCTTGGGTTACATACGCTTCAGGTTGCAGACACTTCAGGTTACAGACTCCGCTAACCAAGAAATATTACCTCGGGTTAAGAACTTTGCTTCAGGATGAGAATAGAAATCATGCTCCAGCGGCGTGGCAACAGCGGGAGGCCCCGTTAGCTAAAGTGGTGCTTCAGGTTAAGAACAGTTTCAGGTTAAGAATGGACCTCCGGAACGAATAAAGTTCTTAACCCAAGGTACCACTGTATGCTTTCTGCTGCCTTGTTATTTTCATTTTTAAGTGAGTGTTTAGGCTGTGTGATAGGTAAAGGATCCCTGGACAGTTAAGTCCAGTCAAAGGCGACTATGGGGTTGCGGCACTCATCTCGCTTCAGGCCAAGAGAGCCGACGTTTGTCCAGAGACAGCTTTCCGGGTCATGTGGCCAGCATGACTAAACTGCTTAGGCTCAACGGGACACCCGGGACGAGTACCAGAGCACACAGAAATGCCATTTACCTTCCCGCCGCAGCAGTATCTATTTATCTACTTGCACTAGTGTGCTTTTGAACTGCTAGGTTGGCAGAATCTGAGACAGAACAATGGGAACTCACCCCGTTGCGCAGATTCGAACTGCCGACCTTCCGATCAGCAAGCCCAAGACGCTCAATGGTTTAGGCGGAGAGAGCATGATTGGTCCAAGGTCACCCAGTGAGTATCATGGCTGTGCAGGGATTGATCCTGAGTCTACCCACTCTTAGTCCAACAGCTCTAACCACTACACCACCAAACTGCCTGAGAGCAGCCAACCCACTTGAGGGATTTTAGGTACTGGGTGATTTATGCCCTGCATATTTTGCTTTGCTTTAGCAGAGTTTCCAGTTCTAATTGTGAATGTTGTTAAAACTAGAGGTTTGCTCCTGAGTCAGTGCAAGTCCCAAGGCAGCTATGAGCGCAAGGCCAGCTGCCATATGGAGCATCCAGCTGGGGGTGGGAGGAATGCCCTGGGGGAGCTGCAGTTTCAACTTTACAGACAGGCAGGTGGCAGTGCTGGGCTGACAGCAGTTATCTGATGCTAAGCAAGGCTGAGCAGCAGATGTGACGCTGGTGACCATGAGAGGTGGGATATCAGGTCATGCAGTGATCTGACAGAACTGCAGGATGGGGAATACAATCTTTACTATAGGATTGTATTCTGCTCATTCCTGTGAAGGGCTCAGGTGTGTGGGGCTCTTAATATTTCTGTGGACCATTATTGGTGATTCAAATAATTAGTCCAATGTTCAGAGTATTTTATTGAAGTGAGAATTGAGTGGATGGAGTGATATGAAGGGTGTAATTAGATTTGTATCTGACCTTTCACCCAAGGAGTTTAAGGAGGCATACATGGTTCTACTTCTGCATTTTATTCTCCAAGATTAAGGAAAAGGAAACTGACAGGCACTGCCACCCACTGAACTGTTGTTAAGTAGGAAGGCAGGCAGGGCAGACTGAGGTTAGTGGGGCAACCTCATTTGTCCTGATTGGCTAGCTTTCACTGGGTCATGGGCCCCTTACCTTTTATAATGCTCCCTGCCTAGAATCTGGGATAGCTCAGTCAGTAGAGCATGAGACTCTTAATCTGATGGTCATGGGTTTGAGCCCCACGTTGGGCAAAAGATTGCTGCATTGTGGTCCCTTCCAATGCTATGATTCTATAATGCTCCCTGCTTGAGTTGTTGTCCTTAGAAGGTTGCAAAGGGTCATGATATTTATAAAATTTGGGGGAAAGTCAGGGAACATGGCTTGTTTATTTTATTTATTTTTGTTCATTTACACCCCACTTCATATTTCAACAGAAATCCCTACCATTTACAAACAAAAAGGAATCAATATAAGGTATACAAGACAAATTCCACATTTGGAACCAAACTTTACTACTAACAATCGTCATAGGAATGCCGCATTTTAAACCACATGATTAAGTATCTCTAAAAAACAAACATAAGAATTATATAATAATAATAATTATTATCAATTTAATTTCTATGCTGCCTTTCATCTGAGGACCACAGGGTGGTTTACAATATAAAATCACAAAAAATATACTAACTATAGTAACAAAGACAATAAACCTCCACAGTTTAAAAGGTCATATGGATTGTTTAATTAGTCAATTAGTAGAAAATTGCAGGAGTAAATCCTACACAAATCTGGAGCAGAGTCCCTAAGACAATTGGATGGAGCCTTGTATGCCTTGTTCCGGAAACTTCTGCAGCCAAGTGGGTGCCAAACAAATTGCTTTCCTTTGGACTACATCAGTGAGGCTGGGAGTAGGGTCCTCTCTTCTGGGCAGCCCAGGACCCACACACACACTGCCCAGTCTTGCACCCTGGGGAAGTCACTTCAGTGCTGCTAATGCAGCAGTTTGACTTCACCCCCAAAGGCACCCTCCATTGCCTCTCGAGACAGAGGGATGCAAACAACAACAAAGAAAACTGCAACATTTGTGTCATTCGCAGAAGACTGCTGTAAGTTGAGTGGTACCTCGAGTTAAGAACTTAATTCGTTCTGGAGGTCCGTTCTTAACCTAAAACTGTTCTTAACCTGAGGTACCACTTTAGCTCATGGGGCCTCCTGCTGCTGCCGCACGATTTCTGTTCTCATCCTGAAGCAAAGTTCTTAACCCCAGGTACTATTTCTGGGTTAGCAGAGTCTGAAGTGTCTGTAACCCAAGGTACCACTGTACTGTAAGGTCTTTGAATGGAATGTAGTTTAAGATCGTATTATACAAAACGTCAGAATATAGCAAGAGGCATCAAAATGTGACCGGATTACATCATAAAAGCATGATTAATATTACGAAAACACAAAATACAACCATCAACATCATTCAACTACACAACAACCCTAGACAAAACTGATCAAACCCTACACACACCCCACACACAGAGCCAGTGGAGTGCAGTGGTTGGAGTGCTGGACTAGGACCTTGGGAGATGCTCAGTTCAAATCCTCACTCAGCCATGAAATTTGCTGGGTGACCTTGGTCCAGTCACAATCTCTCTGCCTAACCTACCTCACAGCGTTGTTGTGAGGATAAAATTCGGTGGGGGCATATTGGCTGCCTCCAGTTACTTGAATTTTATTATTGATTTAGGTTGTGTGTGTTTTTTTAAAAAAAGCAACTGCATCTGCACACACAGACACACAAAAGGATTACAGTATGTACTATACTGTACTAATTTAAGTCTGGATCCTACGGAGCGCTATTGGGTGGCCATGAAGAACCACTCAGCGGGGATCTACCCCATCTAAGGAGTGATGCCAATTTGCGCCTAACAAGCTCAGCTGTCCCCCCGCAAAAAACCTCCCTCTTAGAAGATTCTTTCCCCTGTCTTCGAGGCAGAACTCTATGCGCGGAGCCTCTGTTTCCGGGAGGGAAGCTAAACACGGGGGGACCTTCCCTGGCTTTTCCCGTTTGTGTTCTCTTTTTTTGTATATTATAATTTATTGACCTTGTCCCTCCGCGCGCTTGCTTCCTATTGGCCGCTTTCCCTTGCCAGTCCCCGCCTTCCGCCTGAAGGGAAGCTGCGTTTTGATTGGGCGGGCGGAGCAAAGGTGGCGGAGCTGCTTCCGGGTGCGTCGTTATGGTGACTGTGGTTGCCAGGTAGGAAGCTGAAGGTGGAAGCGAGGCGCGCGCGCGCGGGGCGGGGTTCGCTTACTGGGCCCCGTTCGGTCAATACGGGAGGGTGGGCGGGGGGGTCCCCATAGGCGTCGGTCCCGCTGGGTGGGGTGTCATGTCTAGGTCCCAGGGCGTCCGGGTTCAAAGTCCCAAACATGCCCGCAGCAAACCGCCACTGCCTCTCAGACCGGCCTACCTCACAGGGTTGTTGGGAGAGGAGGGAAGGGGCGGGGAAGGAAAGGAGCCTGCATGCTGCTTTGTGGAGGAAGGGTGGGATAAACAGAGCAAGGGATAAGGGGCCACTGAGGCTCCCCTAGTCGCGGGGCTGGATTTAGGTTTGATGAGGCCCTAAGCTACTGAAGGTTAATGGGGCCCTTTATATGTCCAGCTGTCCTTTGTCAACAAAAAAATTTTTTTGCGTTGAATATATGCTATATGGTAATTTATGGACCTAATAGGTATCTAAAGCCAATTGCACATAACAAAATATGTATTTTATCAAAGTAATTGTTGAACTGAAATATAATTAAGAAGTATACTAATAGTGGAACATGAGTTTGACCAAACTGCAGGAGGCAGTGGAAGACAGGAGTGCCTGGCGTGCTCTGGTCCATGGGGTCACAAGGAGTCGGACACAACTAAACAACTAAACAACAACAACAAATATTACTATTGAAAAATTTGGGGGCCCCCCAAGAGAGTGGGGCCCTAAGCTATAGCTTGTTTAGCTCAGGTATAGGCAAACTCGGCCCTCCACATGTTTTGGGACTACAAGTCCCATCATTCCCAGCTAACAGGAAAAGTGGTCAGGGGTGATGGGAATTGTAGTGCCAAAAACATCTGGAGGGCCGAGTTTGCCTATGCCTGGTTAGCTTATACGTAAATCCGGCACTGCCTAGTTGTATGTCAAAGCAGCGGTGAGAGTGGCCACCCACCTAGGGCGCTGGAGGGTTGTTAGCCCTTTCCATAAGGCACCATGGAGTTGCGCAGAATATGGGAAAGGTGGTGGTGGGGACTTGGGATGTTGGGGGGACACGTTGTGCCCATATAGAACTGTAGAGTTGGAAGGGACCACGGGGGTAATCTAGCCCAACCCCCTGCAATGCAGGAAATCTTTGCCCAACTTGGGGATTCAGACCTTCAGCTCCTGAGATTAACAGTCTCATGCTCTAGCGACTGAGCTATGCCGGTAATCTCTCAGGCCTTTGGCTGATCAGATAACTGATGGCCTTTTGAACTGGGTGGTGCTGGTTTTTTGTTTGTTGCTGTGTTGTGTATTTCTGTGTTTCTATACCGTAAACCACCTCCTGATCCTCAAATGTAGAATGCGTAGAAATGCAATAAATAAAAATAATATTTAAGGAGAAGTGGGAAGAAAGACCCACAAGCAAGTGTGCCAAAGTGTTTCTGAACTCTTTGCAGCTTTACAACCTTGCCCGTGTGGTTTGAACTACAACTTGGGGCTGCCTGTATGTTTTCAAGCTTTTTTTTTTTTGTAACCTTGGCAGTGCAGTCCTATACATTTTGTGGAAGTCAATCCAGTGGGGCGGACTCCCAGGAAAATGTAAGCTTTGTTGTTATAACAATCCTCATTTTAAGCATAGTTATTGATGAGGGGGACTGTGCGACAAAATGCAGCCATGTGGAACGCTTCTGTGCAGGGTTCCAGCTGTTCTATTCCATGCTGGTTTTCCCCACCCAACACACACACACACACACAACATTCTGTGATATGTGCCCATTCAGCAAGCTTAATTTTCATTGCCCTTCTTGGATGTTTTCTCTATTTGGGGGATTGAGGTGTGTAAACTTGTGCCCAGTCCTCAATACATTAAAATCTTCGATCCCGATCCCCCCATTGTCAGCACTCACTTCTGTCCCTGGGGATGTTTTAATCAATGTCAGGTGGGAAGGACTCCTCCTATCCTTTACATATATGTGTTGCCTTTTTTCCCCAGCCACTCCATTTCCCCTCCCACCTGATTTTTCCTTCCACTCAGCATTCTGTGCCATTGTGTTCTTAGGGGGCTGCTTTTTGGTGTTGCCTCTTTGACAGTTCCCCCTAAAGGTTCTTTAGGTAAAGATAAAGGGACCCCTGACCAATCGTGGCCGACTCTGGGGTTGCGGCGCTTTACGAGGGAGCCGGCGTTTGTCCGCAGACAGCTTTCGGGTCATGTGGCCAGCATGACTAAGCCGCTTCTGGCGAACCAGAGCAGCGCACGGAAACACCGTTTACCTTCCCGCCGGAGTGGTACCTATTTATCTACTTGCACTTTAACGTGCTTTCGAAGTGCTAGGTTGGCAGGAGCAGGTACCGAGCAACGGGAGCTCACCCCATCACGGGGATTTGAACCGCTAACCTTCTGATTGGCAAGCCCTAGGCTCTGTGGTTTAACCCACAACATTTGCAAACCTTGAGGTTGACTCAAGTTGGCTGATACCTCCTTCTTCTGTGTCAGTGATGTGGTTTTGAGTAGGAGGACTTGAACTGCCATTAGAAAGAAGAGTTATATCGTAGCACTTTTTGGCAGCCTGATGTTAATCATGTTTACTTGGAAGCAAGTTCTACTAAGTACATTAGGATTAGCTTCTCTAGAAGCCCTTCTTTTAATTATTTCTTGCTTGATCCTCTGTATGTTTGTTGGAAATTCTGTAGATTCTAGTGTGATTTTCTGCACAAATCTATTGATTCTGTGGTAGACAGTTAAATCCTGATGTGTATTGTGGTTCTGGTAGGATGTGCTGTGTTGGTAGGTATTGTTATAACAGGATAGAGATTAGACAACTATGACACTGAAGAATCAAAAATAAGGATGAGCTAGTTTGGTAATTCTCTGAATTTTAAAATACTATTTTGTTATTTAATAAGCAGGTGCTATTTTTCTAGAAAAAGAGGTGTCGGAGCTCACCATGAACTTCTCCCTTGTTCTCTTAGGATGGCAATTGTGCCCACCTGAGAGGTGCTGGAGCTGAGTAAAGGGTTACTTCCGGGTTTCGGCGCTTGTGCATGCACATTAGCGCTAAATCACGCTTTGCGCATGCGCAGAAGTGCTGAATCATGACCCGCGCGTGCACAGACGCGGCACTGAACGCTGCGGGTTGCGAACGTGCCTCCCGCATGGATCATGTTTGCAACCCGAGGTTCCACTGTATAGCAAATCAAAGCAAGGCTACTGGGGAGGAGAGGAATAAGCGCCTCTGAGCTCATCTTTCCAATTCTTCTCTCTAAACTTAAATGACCTCCTCCATCTCAAATGCAGTGGAGTGTTTCTGAGCCTTGTTCTTGGAGGCCGTCCTTGATCACTTGTGCCAATGCTGGACTAAAAGTGTAAGCTTGGCTGCCAGCCATTTCCTTTTTTAAATCTGTCTACCCTCCGTCAAAACGTTTGAGACAGATATAGGGCACACTTCAGAGAAGGCAGCTCTGTGCAGAAAGGTAGGATCTGGTGTGTGCGGGTGTGCGGGGTCACACTGTGATTTTCACACTGCGGGGGGTGACCCGACAAGGCCTTGTGGTGTTTTACACAAATAGAATAAGGCCCAAGGCTGTGCTGCTTACATTTATTTTTATAACGGCACCATTTTACTTAAGGACATTCCCCTCCCTTCTCACACACGAGCTCAAATCAAATCCTCTTCGAACCTCTCTTGGTATTTGTTATAAGTGTCTCATTCTCTGCAAAGCAGAACAGAGAGGCAATTGTGTTTCTACATTTAGGTTTCTAATGTCTATAAGGGAGGGCTCTGCTTTGCAAACCTAATTGTAGCAAGCCACTTTAAATTTCACCTGCAAAGACTCCCTTTAAGAATGTTTTAAAGCATAGTTGGTTGATACTAGCAGGATAAGTCCATAGCTGTCATGTGCTACATGGGACTACCTTTGAAAGTGACTCAGAAACTACAACTAATCCAGAATGTGGCAGCTAGACTAGTGACTGGGAGCAGCTGCCAGGACCATATAACACGGGACCTAAAGGATCTACATTGGCTCCCAGTATGTTTCCGAGCACAACTCAAAGTGTTGGTGCTGAGCTTTAAAGCCCTAAACAGCCTCGGCCCTGTATACCTGAAGGAGCATTTCCACCCCCATCATTCAGCCTGGACACTGAGGTCCAGCTCCAAGGGCCTTCTAGCAGTTCCCTCATTGTGAGAAGTTACAGGGAACCAGGCAGAGGGTCTTCTCATTAGTGGCCCCTGCCCTGTGGAACTCCCTCCCATCCAATGCCGCATTTCCTAAAATAACTGAAGGCAGCCCTGTGTAGGGAAGTTTTAAAAAATGTTTAGCTGAGGCTCAGAAGACTCTGCTAGCCTCACCAAAGCAGCTTCAGCAAGCCTCTGGCTGGTGAGGAGACTCCCTGCACCCAGGAGCCCGAAGATATCTTCTTTGGGCTCTGGGGTAGGTCTTCCGAGAGAAGTGCATTCCGGGACCTTTTTTCTGGAAAAAAAGCAGAGTCCAACAACATCCGGTTCCCCCACCTCTGGGGGAATAGGTGCTGATACCTATTCTGTAGGTATGTAAAGGTAAAAGGTCAAGGACCCCTGGACAGTTAAGTTCAGTCAAAAGCTACTACAGTGGTACCTCGGGTTAAGAACTTAATTCGTTCTGGAGGTCCGTTCTTAACCCGAAACTGTTCTTAACCTGAGGTACCACTTTAGCTAATGGGGCCTGCCGCTGTTCTGTTCTCATCCTGAAGCAAAGATCTTAACCCGAGGTACTATTTCTGGGTTAGCGGAGTCTGTAACCTGAAGTGTCTGTAACCTGAGGTACCACTGTATGGGGTTGCGGAGCTCATCTTGCTTTCAGGCCAAGGGAGCCGGCATTTGTCCACAGACAGCTTCCCAGGTCATGTGGCCGGCATGATATGACCATTTCTGGTGCAACGGGACACTGTGAAAAGTGCCAGAGCACATGGAAATGCCATTTACCTTCCCGCCACGGCAGTACCTATTTATCTACTTGCACTGGCATGCTTTTGAATTGCTAGGTTAGCAGCAGCTGGGACAGAGCAACGGGAGCGCACCCTGTTGCGTGGATTCGAATCGCCAACCTTCTGATCGGAAAGCCCAAGAGGCTCAGTGGTTTAGACCACAGCATACCTACAGAATAGATATGAGCACCATTCCATCAGCATTAAGTGCTACTGAGACCCAGTGATTTCATCAGGAAGAGTTCAGCATGTGCTCAAAATAGGTGGCCTTTTGAAATAGTTGAACTTTGCTGGGGAACTTTGCTTGACATCTTGTACTAATAAACCAACTCCTATCTTCCTTGCTGGTTTCTGCTGTCCTTAACCAGCTTATTCATTTCATCACATCATCCTAAAATTTAGAAAACACAACACTGTTCACTTGGTGATGCATCCGTGAGATCTGATGTGCAACACAGTGTGAAATGGAAGTAGCTTTGTTTTATGAGTGGCAATCCCAGACTGCTTTGTGGGTTTTTAAGCAGGGTGTCCTTGTAAACAACTTTAAACAGAATGCTTCCCTTTTTTTCTTCTTTTTTTTACAATAATGTTGATTGAATACTCTCCCTGTAGAAAATTAGTTTCTAAAGCGGCGAAATGGAACTCCTTAATCTGGCACCATGTTTATTTGGGGCAAACCTTTCTCCAGAAACGAGAGACCCAGAGTGTGGTAAGCAAATTTATCCGGCTATGGATCCGGAGGCTTTTATCTCCTGGGCACGGCTGTCTAGAAGGTGGTTTGCTATTTCCCTCCTTCTTGCCTGTTTTGTGTATGTTGCTGCTCTCCTGCTTTCAATGGAGTTTGTTTCATATTTTTTTGGCATTCCCCTAAATGTGTAGATCATTGATCTATGGTAAGACTGAGAATCATCTGATTATATTTTTTTTGGACTAGTATGTATTGGTAATATAACCCCTTTAATTGCAAACTCTGGTAGCGAGTACCCACAGGACCGGAGCCAAAACACAAAGAAGGTATCAGCATGCTAAGAGAATCCAAACATTTGCAGAAACACAAATAAATGTGTGTTTTTTTATTAAAAAAAAACAGCTCAGTGAGATTGAGCTTTCTGAGTAGCCACAAAATGTTGAAAAAGAAATGGGGTGGGCAGTGGAATTCATTCATTTATCTTTACATTTGTAGTCCGCCTTTCCTGCAAGGAGCCCGAGGTGGCACACATAGTTCTGCTGCTTCCCATTCTGTCCTCACATCAACCCTGTGAGGTCAGTTGGGTCGCTGGTCCAAGGTCACCCAGTGAGCTTCCTCCTCAAGTGGGGGTTTGAATCCTGATCTCCTAGGTGTTACTCCCAACACCACTTCGCCGGCTCAGCATGAATGCCTTGCTTCAACTCCTTACAGCTTTCACTAACATGGAGTAGGGCAAAGCTGGCAGACAGAAACACTCTTCTAGATGGTGAGGGTGTATTATAATGTTTTCTTGCAGGTCCTGTGTAAATGTCATGAATCGCACATGTAAATGATATGAAATGCTCATAAAAATAAGAGGTACAGAAGTGATTTTGCTTCTCCGTCCACCTTTCTCTGAAACTTCTTTAAGAAACACCATTGCCCCTAGCATTGGAACTCCACTATGTATATTGTATGTAGCATCTGGTTAGCCTCGGCCCCCTGGAAGTCTGTTTACTTCTGTTTGGCAATGCCTGTGGTCTGTGGGTTGCTGTCCTGTTTTTTAAAGTGCGGTTGTTCTGTGTCTGGTGTCTGTTCTTCCAGATCATGATGTTCTGATGAATATGATAGAGAGAAGTCTATCATATTCATCAGAACATCACACACACACACACACACACACACAGAGAGAGAGAGAGAGAAACCGAAACCAGCTGTCTTTCTTTCTGCCTGGTTGCCCAGAGGTAATTCTTACTTGCCACAAGCAACCAGGCAGGTGGTTATATTTACAAGCCTGACTTAGTTGGCATGTTTGCACTTGAATATTGACTCCCTGGTACAAAGCTTGTATACAGGCGTCCCCCCACTTATGTGGGGGTTATGTTCCAGGCCCCCACGCGCATAAAGAAAATCATGTAAAGTGGGGAGCACCCATTATACACCTTCTCTGCTACTCTCTCTTCAACCCATACCAAAAAATACTCTATTCAAAGATATCCACAACTAGAATGGAAGCTCTGGGGTTGGCAGGAGGCTAGAGGTCGTGCAGGAAAGCGGCTGTTCTTGCTGTGCAACCCCACACATCAGCTGTTAGGAGGGGAGGCTGAGCAGCATGTACAAAGCCTCCAGCCTCTTGGGGGCTCCCTCCCCCCTCACTGCTGTCCTCTTTGGGCTCTGGGGAGGGTCTCCACGAGAACTGTCCAGCTCTCTCCCGCAATTGCAGGTTTGAATTGAATTATTTAATAATTTCCTGACGCCGCGCATATGCACGGTTGTGCACAAATCCATCAAGCATAAGTGGGGGAATTGCCTTGACTCCCTGATACAAAGCATACTCTGTTCATTTCCATGCCTGTGATTTGAGAGAGAGGTGGAAGGCAATGTCACAATACAAAAGAGGCCAGAAGGCAATTGGCACAGCTGAGCCCAGCCCAGTTGCTCCCTTGTATACTGATTTTTACATGTTGTGAAACAGGCCCTGGAGGCTGGGGAGCTGCTGTGTTGGATTGAATCTGTTCTGTGTGGAAACAGGAGAGTGGAAGGTGGTTCGTGATCAGTTTGTGTAATGTGCTCTTGTTCTCTGCTTCCTTCCTGTAACTCCAGGACGAACCCTAGAAGAAAAGTGATGGATCTCACCTCTGTGATGATTCTTCCACTGCTTTTTGGCAGCCTGGGGGTTTTTGGGCTCTTCCGGCTGCTTCAGAGAATGCGTGTGAGAGCCTACCTGAAGGATGCAGTGGTGGTGATCACAGGAGCAACTTCTGGACTAGGGAAAGGTAGGTTTCTGAGACATTTGGCATGGAGGTGGAGAGGAGAACAGCCTGTACAGGACAGCTTGTACATTACTCAAAATGTTTTCTCGGGAAATAGGGTGTTACTAAACTCTCATCTCACACCACGAAGGTCAAGCTTAGCCTTACAGGATCAGATTCCTTGTGAAGGAGGAGGGAATCTGAGGAGTCTTGGTTTTTTAATTTTATTCTTCAGTAGCATCTCTTAGCAAATATACAGGTTGAGCAGGTGGGAGGCAAGTCACAACAGAACTTCTGGATTTTACAAATGTTCAAAAAATGGGGACTTGGCCATTGTGCATGTCCTCATCCCTAGATGAAACCCAAAACCTGCATTGCATCTAATTTGTTAAATTTGCTAGTTTACTCACACTCAATGTAAATATGTACCAATTCAGATTTTAGGGCTGTAACACCAGCCTGTTTTTTTCTCTATCCTTCCCCACTTTGCTTAACCTGCCCAAGGCTTGGAAAACTCAGAAGCTCCCTCAGTCTCTTGTGCCATTTTGATTGGCCTTATAAAGACGTGGCCCTTTTCTGTGTTGGGAATTTTTCGTATGGGTCAACATGGCAACCTTTGCTTCTTAGTGGCAATGTGAATCCCAAAGCAGCACCAAACTCCATATACGCACACACAGCAAGCAGAACACCAGAACAATAGCTGCTTCACAAAGAACACATGGCTTAAGTAAAACAATAGAGAATTCCACAAGATACAGAAACACCTCATCATTTAGCCCTTCTGGCTGGTCCTTAATGTTTCTGGGATGGAAGGTGGCTCCATCCCAGAAACATTAAGGACCAGCCAGAAGTCTGTTCCGACTTATTGCCTGCTACTTTGTTCCCCATCTCCATCGCCTTGTTAATTTATTGGAAGCGCAAGAGCATGCATTGGCAAGGGCATGAGGTGAATCAGGACCCCCAGACTCCAGGTCTTCTTTGCTGGGCCTCAGATCTCCTGTCCTGCTTTTTGGGTAAAACTTTACTGCAAGGTTTCCTAAACTTGGGTCTCCTGCTGTTGTTGGACTACAAATCCCATCATCCCTAGCTAGCAGGACCAGTGGTCAGGGATGATGGGCGTTGTAGTCCAAAAACACCTGGAAACCCTGCTTTAATTTGGTGACTGGAAGACTAGGTGCCCTGCAAAGTGCAGTGCTGGTGAAATCCCAGCCACCTGCCAGCTTGATTTGCCCCAAGTCACTCTATACATACTTCAACTTTCATCAATCTCAGCAAGCATGGCCAATTGCCAGGGATTATGGGAGTGGTAGTTTAGCAACATCCAAAGGTTCCCCACGCCTGCTATTGGTTCTATGAGTCATGGGGCCTGTGAAAAGTACCTAGCAATGCTAAACCTTCCCTGGTGGGGAGGACTTTCTCAATCCATGGCATTTTCAGTCACTCCCATGGGGAACCTGCCCCCATAGTTGGGTAACACCTGCCCTAACCGGTTTTATTCCAGCTTGGAGGCAGGTCTCAGCCAGTGATTCAAACTCAGATACCCCACTCCAGTCAATTCTCTCATGAGCCGAGAACATCCTTAAAATGGGTGGGGAAAGGGAAACAGTTATGCAGCCTTCTGTAACTTAATTCACCGGCAACTGACGCGTGGCCCCCGGTGGAGGTGCTTTCCTGTTCTCTGCAGAACAGCGTTGAAAGCCCTTTGGGAACGGAATGTCCTCACTGCCTTATCGTAGCTGTGTGCTTCGTCGTTGGCCCAACCACAAGCTTGGAGCGTGGGTTTCTCCTCAAGGTGCTGTGACTTCTTGGGAAGGAAGAGCTACCTTAATGCATCATAGTATACTAGTTCATCTGTCCCACGGCTATGTCTCCAGATTTTGTTTATTTGGTTTTTCCCCTGCCCTTTTCCTCGACAGGGACTCGAGGCAGTTAAAACTGAAACAGCTAAAAACATGGGGGTATTTACTGAAACACACAGATTATTGCCATAAAAATATCACAGTACCAGCCCTTTCCTTAAAACCAGTTCCCAAAAGCCCGTTGGAACAAAAAAGTATTCACCTGCTGGCAGAAGGACAAGAAGGAGGGAGCCAGTCTGATTTCTCTATGAGGGTAGTTCCAAAGTCTGGGAGCAGCCATCGCGAAGGGTTACTGTTGCTTGAGATACTTTTAATTAGAAACAAAAGGGATTGAGCCCTGCTTTGTTGAAAATGAGTTCCGTGCCACTGAGCTGCGTCTCCCCCGCCCCCCAAAATATGTTTGACAGATTAGTACAGGATCCCAATGAGAACTGAAAAGGGCTCACAGTTGGACTGAACCTTGGAAACTGCCTTACACCATTGGCTTCAGTGTTGTCTGTTCTCTGTTGGGAGTGGTTTTATAAAGTCTCAGGGCAGGGAAGGGGTTCTTTCCCAACCCAGCTCACTGGCGATTGACCCTGGGACCTTCTGCATGTAAAACATGTTCTCAATCATGAACCTGTGGTCCTTATCCAAAACAGTTCTCCTAGCTGATTTATTCATTACAATATTTCTCTCTTCCTTCTTAGGAAATGGAGAATATCATCATTATTGTTATTTATTAAATCTCTATACTGCCCTTCATCCGAAGAACACAGGGCAGTTTGCAATATGAAAACACAAAAAAACATACCCTAATAACAAACAAAACCAATAACCTCCTTAACACACACACACCGTTTAAAAGGCCATAGATGGTTTAATTAGCCTGGGAGAAGAGGAGTGTTTTCTCCTGGTGCTTCAAGAGATGTGGTGAGGGTGCCAGGTGAGTCTCGCTGGGGAGAACATCCCACAAGCAGGGAGCCACCGCAAAGGCCCATTCTCGTGGTGCAGCCTTCTGGGCCTGCCATGGACACCAGACCAGTCTTGTGTTGCTCATGCCCAAGTAGTTTCAAGAGCGTTGGAGCACTGACTGTTTTTGAGGCCATTCAATGGTCGAACAGGTTCAAGGAGCCTTCCCCAACTTGGTCCCTCCCCTCAATGTTTTGGACTGCAATTCTCAGTCAGCTCTAGGCAGCCTATCCAGTGGTCAGGGAAGATGGGAGTTGTAGGAAGAAGGCTCCGCACCCCATGCACATAAAGGGGAATTATGTTCTGCAGTAGCAGCGATACAGTGCAGTATGCTGGATAAAGGTCTTCTGCCGAGGAGATCAGTGTTCAAATCCCTGCTCGGCCATAAATTTTACTGGGCGCCCTTTGACAAACCAGTCTCTCTCACGGCAATTCTATTTCACTGAAATGCTGAATCTAAAATGTGATCATAGATCCATGTCTGATTCCCTCAGCGTTCTGCTTTATTTAATTCACCACCACGCCCTTTCATTTACCAGCAGAACCTTTGAATGAAGAAATTAAATATAAAATTGGGCTGAGGCCAAACAAAGTGTCAGATACGTACCAAAACACGTGTCTATAAAGAATTATGGGATCTGTGGCTATTCAGATGTTGTTGTGCTATAGGTCGCTCACCCCGTAACTGATCCAAAGTCAGCTTCATTGGCTGAGCCTGGGTTTTACAATGATTTCTCCACAATACAGCATGCATAATTTTGTAAATCGCAATCATGTTGTCCGTCCCCCCCGCCCACTTGAGTTCTTCTTTTCCTAACCAAAGTAGTCTCTAACTTAATCCTGATCATTTGGCCATTTTCTCCACTGTTTCTAGATCTACCAGTATCCTTTCCGAAGTGCATTCACCCAAAAGAGCATTCCAAGTGTGGTCATACAAGAGTTGTGTAAAGGCATTTTTTTTCTGTCCCTCTCTCTCTCTTTTTGCCAAGAATGTGCCAAAGCTTTCCATGCCGCTGGGTCAGAACTGGTGCTGTGTGGTAGGAGCAGAGAGAGACTTCAAGACCTTCTGCAGGAGCTCTCCACTGCTGCTGGCCACCCAAAGAATGTAAGCAACGGGGTGAGGGGGGAGGAAGAGGAGGAGGTGGAGAGACTGTAGGTCAGTGATGCTTTTCACGCAGGTCACAGGTTTATGGAGTTGTGGGAAGAGGAGAGGTGGAGAGGGAGAGAGGTGGAAAGGGGAAGCCAGTAAAATGTCATTTTTTTACATAGTACATTTGCAGGGCTTTTGTGTCAGCATCACGTACACAGGGATTTTGTTTTGCTGGCAGTGCAAGAGTCCAGAGGGTGCAGGGCATGGTTGGTTGCAATGTGTTTTGTTTCTGTGTGCTGCTGGGTCAAATTAACCCCCTTTTAAAGCCAGGGTCGGCGTCAAGGCTCAGCATCACTGAATGCTCACTGAAGCCTGTGTCCCACTGCCAATCCCTGGTGCCTCCCATCCTTGCTGCTGCTGCTGCCTGATCTGTTCTTTGAACAAGCAAGCAAGCAGCAAGAGGAGCAGCAATCTCTGCAACAACAACAACAACAACAACAACAACAACAACAACAATAATAATAATAATAATTTATTTGTACCCCGCCTATCTGGCTGGGTTTCCCCAGCCACTCTGGGCAGCTTCCAACAAAGATTAAAAATACATTAAAATGTCACACATTAAAAACTTCCCTGAACAGGGCTGCCTTCAGATGTCTTCTGCAAGCCTGGTCCTTGATATCTCTGTATTGTGTGTTAATGAGAAAGCTAACTAGGCCTGAAAGCACCTTGCCCAAGGTCCATCCCCTCCCCACCCTAAACAAAAACCAGGAATCTGCCCTGCTTTAAGCCATATAAGCCAGTTGCTCCTTCCAAACGTGCTGGTATCAGGGGTGCCACGCCCTTTGCCCCCTCCCCAATATTTTTTTGGGAGGGGGCTTCCCTCAAATGTCCAGAGCATGCGTTGATTTATAAACATTTCCCTAGATCCCTGTGGCATGTTTATAATGCCATTTTATCTTCCCAGTATCACACTGTGAGAGAGGATAGGCGAAGAGAGTGGTTTCACCAAGGCTACCCGATGAACCTTGCAGCTGAATAGGTTCAGATACGATTAACTGCTTTTTTCTTTTCTTTTCCAACAGCCCCATAAACACCACACTGTGGTCTTTGACCTCGCTGACATCAAAGCAGTCGTTGGCGCTGCCACAGAGATTTTGAAGTGTGCAGGCCATGTGGACATCTTGATTAACAATGCTGGAATCAGCTACCGCGGCACAATTGTGGACACCCTAATGGAAGTGGACAGGAAAGTGATGGAAACCAATTACTTTGGCCCAATTGCTTTGACAAAAGGTACACTGTAACAGCCTCCTCCTGTGTCTTTCTGCACACATCCTAACCCTTCCTGCAGTGGTTACTGTGCCCCACTTCTTTAGCAGTTACACCTCTGCAACATTCTAGATTTGCTTCCTGCATTGTAGGGGGTTGGACTAGATGACCCTCAGGATCCCTTCCAACTCCACAATCCTATGATTCTATGTAGACCACTTAAGTGCTGTCTTCGTAAAGCCTGTGGGACGTGCTTCATGTAACAGTCTTGAAAATGACCATGGTGACACAAATCATAGGCTTACTTTCAAGCTAAAATGGTCCTTGCTTGCCATTTTAATATCTTCCTGAGCTGGAGGAGCTTGTAGAAAAGCAAAGCAGGCAAGCATCAGGCAGTCGACTTGGCTGCTGATCCCTCTTTCAAAGCAACTCTCCCTGCCCTTGTAGCATTTCTCTACATGGAGAAAATCCTAGAGGGCAGCAGGAAACTGAAAGAGGTCTGCAGAATTGGCTGTTATACACAACACTGGTGGGAAAAATGTAGATGCAGCCCCTCAGCAGTTGCTTGGTGGAAACGTTGGCCCACTAGCTCCACTGAGTCTTACATTCCTTGCTTATAGTCTGTGTCTGCCTTTCTCAGCCCTGGGTCCCTAGATGTTTTTGGACTACAACTCTCATCCCTTAGCCACCATGGCCAGTGGACAGGAATGATGTGAGTTGCAGTTTGAGAGCATCTGGGGACCAAAGGTTGAGAAAGGCTTGTCTATATAATACAGGGATACAATAGTTTTATTTGCACCTTCCTTACTGAGTTTCTGGGCAAGTAAAAATGGGACCCATCTGTTCCAGCTGACCGTTCTCCAGTGTGCATCCTATTTTATGTTCAAGTAGATTTCTTAAGAAAAAAGGACTCGTTTCTTTCACTGAAATCAGTGGAACTTTGTTCCAAATAGAGTTTTTCAGCATCAGGGTAGGAACAATTCCTGCCTTGGATAAGAAGTAACTGCAAGGTCATCTTTTGGATCCCAGTGCGATTATTTTGCCTCTCTCTTCAGGAAGCATTTCTACAAATATTGCAACTTCAAGGTCTGCTAGGAATCCCCAAGAAATTGTGACTAGGATAAATTAGGCAGTTGAAATACATTTGTGTAAGACAGTTACACTTACACACACACACACACACACACACACACACACACACACGATTCTAGGTAGCAGCATAAGGAAGAAACCCTGGTCTCCCAGGATCGAAGCACACATTATTTCTCATGGCAAGATTGTGGAGTCGCATTCTCATTCTCACCCCCTCCCTCCTCTCTCTAGCAATTCTGCCTTCCATGATCAAGAGGAGAAAAGGCCATATTGTCGCCATCAGCAGCGTTCAAGGCAAAATTAGCATTCCTTACCGCTCGGCTTGTAAGTATTCTTCACAAGGCTTGGGAGGGGTTGGCTGCTCTGGAACCACCAGCGCACCGGAAAGGGGCAGCCAACACATTATAGTAGATACAGCACATATAGAGCTCAAGGGAGGGGAGCCTCAGGCCAGTGTTTCTCAAACGCGGGTCTCCTGTTCTTGTTGGACTACAACTCCCATCAACCCTAGCTAGCAGGACCAGTGGTCAGGGATGATGGGAGTCGTAGTCCAGCAAAAGCAGGTGACTCAAGTTTCAGAAACACTGGCTTAGGCGAACCTCAAACATTGGGAAGAATAGTTTCTGCTCTCCCTATCTTCATCTTTGCTTGTCTCCAGAGCTGGGTGTGACTTCCACAGGGCCAGTCCTACTGCACAAAGAACTCAATTTCTACGGGTGCCAGCAATGCAGGGTCCCATTTTAGTGGGGTGCTTTGGTATCTTCTGCATCACCAGAAGGTAGCATACGTCTTGCATCGTGTGGTCCAAAATGCCCAACTTCATTCTGGATAATCACTGCCCTTACCCAGGTATTCCTCCCCCTACATCACATTTACGATAAGAATGCAAACTTTGCCATCAAAATCTGCCTAGGTAGTTGTGCTGAATCTGATTATAGCATTCATGCTAACCTAACAGACTTGGAACTTCTCCGCATATATTGAAATCTAACCCTCCAATCCTAAAATAAGAAATTGGAAAAGGAACAGGGTAGTGCCATTGTTCGTAGCCTGTAAAAAGACACCATGCTCAAAAGCTCTTGCTTCATTTGTTTGGAATAAACCTGTTTGATTCAGCAAAGAGCGCATTGGAGCTGACCTCCAATTTTCCCTCTCTAAAACAGAAATTCTTTCACATGATTATGAAGATCCTTGCAGAGACTCATGCAAGTTTACAACTTGGTTTTGAATTCTTACAGTCCCTTTATGATATTCCCAAATTTTCCTTTAATGAGAAGCTGTTCAGCAGCTGGCATACTATTAAAGTCTGCCCATCCTGGGCTGGACCAAGGGCCTGTGTGCTCCAACACTGGCAAGATGTCATTGGAAATCTTGTAAGCAGAGCAGAATCAGACATAATCACCCTTGTTGCTTGCCCCAGCAAAAGCCTACTGCCTTGGAATAGGCTGCATTCAGTTCTGGTAGCTAATAGCTATTTACGCTGTTACATGCTTCATGCAAAAGGCAGCTATGCATTTTGGCTGGGAAGCTGCAGATCAGAAATCAACTGAAATTGTGTCACCTTTGGGGTTTTTAGATGCTGCCTCTAAGCATGCCACCCAAGCCTTCTTTGACTGCCTACGAGCAGAAGTGGAGCAGTACGACATCGACGTCACAGTTGTGAGCCCCGGCTACATTCAGACAAATCTCTCACTTAATTCCGTAATGGCAGATGGATCCCAGTATGGAGGTGAGGACTAGCTTTGCTTGTGTAAATTATATGTATCTGTTGGCGTACAGGGAGTGCCAGTGGAGGGAAAGGGGAAAACCCGGTTTCTCAAAGTTTGGCATTGACTGAAAAGGCCCAATATAAAAACTAGCACATTTAACAAAGTTGGATAATCTTCAATGGCTTTAGTGGCCCATGTTCAATGGTCACAGACTTGTTTGCAGAGTCTCACCTCTGGACATCTCTTGATCTATGGGCTTAATTTGTAATCTTGAGCCTCCTGTATCCACCAACAGAAAATAATCTCTAGAGGGAGGTAGTAATTTGTTGTTCTTTTCAGTAATGGACAAGTCAACTTCTGAAGGCAAGGCAGCTGCAGAGGTGGCTCAGGTGGTTCTGAGTGCTGTTGGGGAGAAGAAGAAGGAAGTGCTGGTTGCTGGCTTCATGCCTTCTCTGGCCGTGTACGTGCGAACGCTCTGTCCCAGGCTCTTCTTCCACTTTATGGCATCTAGAGCCCGGAAAGAAAGGAAAGCCAAGGATTCTTAACCAATTGGAGTTCATTTTAAACCATTGGTTTAAAACCAGAAGCTACCAGCTGATGTGTCCAGGGTCTGTGGGAAGCATGAACTTCAGGATTGTTTAAGTTGCATCTCTCGCTTGCCGTGAAGAGTTGGAGCCAGGCTTGTGCTGCTTGCACATCACTGATGGCATCCGAAAAGCTGCTTTCACCACTTACAGCTTTGTTGGCTCCCTGGGACAAAAGGCTTCATCTGCAAGGAGTTAGGCCACGGGAAAATTCTCCTGCGTGTTGAAATGAGCAGGAACTGCACACCTCCACAGCTCCCATTCGTCTTATTTGGGCTTGTCCACAAGACAACAGGCTACTAGCAGCTTACTATGTTTACTTTCCTCTGGCCTAGGCTCTCATCAGCTGAATGTAAAATACTTATTGGGGGAGAACGAAAGAAAACCATTGCCTCCAATATCATTCTCTTAAAAACCTAAGTGGTTGCAGGCTGCTTCTTTTTGCCAGGGTGGGGAGAAGGGATGCAGGCAGCTGAAATTAAATAAGCTTGTGCTGCACATGCATTGCCCAACTGCACTTACTGCATTTTGGCCAGGACTCAAAAGCCACCACCTCCACTACCCTTATTCCTAGTAGCCTAGCTTGGTATTCTCACCTGTTAAGCTCAGAGTAGGTCCTGGCTAGGAACTACAGGTAACTCCACAAGCACATCCAAGTATCAGAAAGCTGTTGTCCCCGTCCCCCCAATTATCTGGGGTGGGTGGGATGCTGCAGCTTGCCTTCCTTAGGCAGATCTGAGTTGCTAACTGCTATTAAAATAGACATGAAAGAGGAACTACATATACTGTTTGCTCTGCAGCTCATCTGAATGTAGTATTTAGTGTGCAAAGAACATCCTTGTCTGATAGTAGCACCAGCCTCCATCCCCATTCAGTCTTACTGATTCTCTAATGGCAAATTCAAAAGCCTAATTCCTGAAAGCAGAATTGTTCGTAGACAGATGCAGTTTCATAAGGCAGGTAACACAAAGATTCCTTGCAGCAAGCACATAACTCAATAGAACTAACAAGATGGTTCTCAGAATTCTTAACCTTGAGAGTAAATAAATGAACATTAGTGATTGCTTGTACCAGCAGAAGCTAAAACACTTTACATAATATTTGTGCTTTTTTCACCGTTCTGGTTTATAATTTGAGGGAATTACTGCATTAGTTACTTGCAGAATGCCTGTTATAATCCTCGTCTTCAGCAAGCAAATACAGCTACAGGAATCTGCTTGGCGCACTCAACAGATACTGTGACCAGAAGGCTGCAGGATTTCAACCCTTGGCCAAACTGACCTACTGAACAGAAGCAGCAGCAAGCAGCTTGCTGTACTGGATTCCAAGGGCTAAAGATAGCACTGAGTTCTGGCTTTGCCCTTGTGGGATGCCATTCCAAGGTCACTAAACATTGCACAAAGGTCAGGTTGCAGCTATCACGCTAAGCAAGAGCATATACCTGTACGTGACCTGAGCATGTTCACATGCTTCCATTCGCAAGTCACAATAGTCTTACTCTTTCCCAGAGTCTTGTGAAAATACCCAGGATTTATCAGTTAAAATGTGATCAGAGGGAAGACTTCTTGTTTCCAACTAGGAAATGAAGACTTATACACAATCCACAGTTCACTGAAAAGTTAAAAGGAGCAGGGGACTTGACTAAATACTGCAAGAAGGGCAGCTCTGCCTCAAGTTCCCCATCCATAATGGCAAGTACGATATACCTCATGCTCAACTATCATTACACTCTTATGTCACCAAGGATATTCAGAGGAGGCCCATTCATTTCAGTGGGTCCACTCTTAAGTGTGGCTAGCACTGGCTTCATCCCTGAGTTCCCCATCACTGGGTAGCAGGGGCAGGATCCAAGATAGGTTGAACTAGATGCTAGGGAGGGAAGAACATAACATGGATTTTTTTCTGCCAGATAACAGCAAAGTTTAAAGAGGGTGCATGCAATAATGATTGAAATAAAGTCCTGTTATAGAAGAGCAAGTGGTCTGCCTACAATTTCACTTGTACTTGGGGGGGGGGGGAATTGCATGCACCAAATGAGTTTTTGTGAGAGTGTCATAGGGGCTGGCAGTTTATGGAAGATCATTTGCTTACAGCATTCAGAAGCAAGTTTTAGTGTTATAAAACATGGGAAAGAGATACTTAACAGACCTGTTCTTTAACAGTGTACTGAGACATTCAAACAGCACATGCTTCACTGGGCATTAGTATTCAGAATAAAAAATAAATTCTGGAGAAGTGCTCACAATAGGGCAGTTACACTATAATCTGCTATGGAGGATATTTAAATTTGCCATTGAAGTGCTCCTTTTTACAGGGCTGAAGTCCATTATAAAGGCTACTTAATCCCTGTACAATTACATGAAGGGAAGAATTGTTCTTTGCATGCTAACAGCATAATCTTAACACCAGGTAAAATCCAGGAGAATTTGCAAATTCAGCCTTGTCTTAGTTAACATTTTAAGTTTTGCTGCGACTTTCCTGCACTGCAAGGCTTACTAAGCTTTGAGGGCAGGTAAGCCCCACGCAAAAGGGCATGGCTTATGTTTCTGTGTTCCAGCAGTACAAATATTGGGCAAGTTAACATCAAGGGCTTGCTCTGATGAAGGAAGCACCCAGCAAACCTCCTCTTGTTGCCGTAAACAGTGAACCCTCCTCAAGGAGGCCATCTACTCATAACCAAAAGCTGCACTTCAAACTCACGAGTTAGTATGATTATAGCCTTCCTTAAGAGTTATTCCTCTAGAAACAACTTTGGCACCAAAAGAAAGCAAACCACTTGAAATTCTCATCCTTTAATGAATGGTCAGTGATAACTTTGAGCTGGTTCTGTAGAATACAATTAAACAATATACTTAAAGGTTTCTTGGGGGGAAAACAAAAAACCCACACTCCCTCTTAGGTATCTTTCCGTTCATTGACATTCCATTATTGACTTCAGCTCCCACAGTGTTCCTTTTCACGGCAGATCCATGTCTGAGGTGTAAGAAAACTGAAAATTCCCTTGATGCACCCAGTGACATGTTATTTTTGTTCTAAAAATAACAAAAAAATAATATATGGATAAACCAAACTGCTTCCCAGGCACCACTTCAAGAAGAAAAGTTGAATGTCACTGTGGGAGTCTTAATACACTTTTTTTTTTTTTGTCTTTGCGGATTTCTCCTTCCTCTGCCGCAATCATACGGCGTAAAGTTCATAAATCTTCTTTACACAGTACACCAGGGCAGCGAGTGCTATCGTGTTATGCAGTCTCTTTCTGTGCAGGTCGTCCTTCCTCACCAGAACCACGGGAGTGGAGGAGGTGAGTGTATGCAGGGGCAGGCGAGAGAGTTTATAGGCATTATACTCCACTTGGTACTTGCAGCAGGGGTCGAATTGCCAAGAGATCCCATAGAGGGTGCAGCAGGCTATGCTGAGGACGCCAGCAGGCAAAGAGATGTAATGGGAATAATCTACGGGAACAGCCAGGGGGGTGAAGAGGCAGGCTGTGCCCGCTAGCACGGCCGTCTTGTGCAGGCAGTTCCCAACAGTGATCCAGCGGGCCGTCTCGTCCCCAATGCGCGTGGGCTCAATCACAATGTATTTGTACTGAGCCTCTAAGGCCTGTTCCAGCTCGTATTCAAACTGGTCCTGAGCATTCTCGCCGTTGTAGATTTCGTGAACAATGTAACAGTCCGTGGCAGACAAGGTGACCCTGTCGGAAGAAAAGGCAAGTGAGTTACTTGAGGGTTGTGAACTGGCCTTGCTCCCTGCCTTCCCCCCATCAGTACAACCTATAAGCTTGCCTAGGGGCTGTAGCCAAATTAAGAATTCTAGGCAAGCAAGCCTGGCAGTAAAGGGAAGGATGACTGATCCTCCTCTGCGTGGTTTCTGTACTAACTGCAGAGGATGAAAAGGCTCTACAACCAGCATGGGGGGGGGGGGACACGACCCACAGTGGTCCAGCAGAGAGGGAACTGACCCCCCCCATAGAAACCACATACACTCACTTTTTTTTACTAGCCTAGTAGCAGTTCAGGTCTTATTTACTTGGTGGTCATAAACCTGTTGTTCTGCACTTCTTATTTTACTGTTATAGTGCACTGAGGACATCAACATCTTGTGCTCCGAATTTAAGGACACCCATACAAAATTTGTTTGAGTCACAATATTCCTAGCCTTGTTCCAACATGAACTCAGGCATTAGAGGGCCAGGTAACATGAGCGCATGAAAATTATCAACTGATTTGGGAGACTCGTCATAGTACAGAAACCTGTTACGATGGGAAGACTTGTCCAAAAATCCCTTTGGTAACTAAGCCTTCACAGCAGGCACTAGCCACATGTTTTCAAACTTTATTCCTTAATCACATGGGCTAGATAGGAACTTCTGCACCAAATGCTTCAAAAATGATGGCAGGTCACCATATCAGGGTCTGGCTGAGCTCCTTTCCAGACAATTTTCCATATTGAGTTCCTGGTATCCCCTTGATGAAGGGCAGTTTAGAAATCTCACACAAAAAAGTTTGGTGTTGCTTTTGGTGATGATAAAGATCATGGGATTGGTACTGGACACTACACAAAACAACACTTTCAGACCCTCAAGTAGTGGCAACCAGATCTTGACTTTTACTGTCTTTCCCTCCCTTGAGAACAGCCTCATCCTTTTATTTCTTTTCCTCAAAACTGACCACGTTTTCCAATGATATAAAGCAGTGTGTGTTATCAGTATAACTGGCCAAAGTCTGAAGGTGGCCGCTGACATTAAGAATTAACATCACAGGACTGTTCCTGCAAGCAAGGTGTACCTACTTTTTCAGAGGCCAGTTTCTGAAGGCAAAAAGCTTTCCTGAGGAAGGTTTCCAAAACACCAACCTGGAGAGTGGGACCATTTAGCTACATGGAGCTTGGAAATTAACCAATCCATACTCACACTAGAAATTAATGGGCCTGGGAGGGAAAACAGATCCTACCTCTTTCAAGTTTAGAAATTCAGAACATTTTCTGAACCAGCAGTACTTTGCAGTTTTGCTTATGGATCCTTCACGGGTCTGTGACTAGAGGAAGACAAATAAATGAAGGGGAGATCCTCTTTGGTTCACTCCCAACACGCAAAACAGTGCTACCAATGCCATACTGCACCACATTCCCTGCTCCCTTTCAGTGTTCTACTATGAACATTTTGCTGTTTTATTCTACTTGTCTCACTGTGGGTGGGTGGCCACAGCCAGCTCTCCTGCAGGTCCTGTTGAATTGAACTAGTGTAATGACTTGAACATACATATATTTTGCATTAGGGAAGTGATTCCCCACATTTAGATACATTTTGGGAGCAATCCAAACCCAAGATCTGATCTGCCAAGAGTTTGGAATAGGTGGATCTCCAATTGAGTCAGGGCTCAGCTAGGTAAAGCCCCTCGTTCCAGCTCAGTCAGAGATGCACCAGTCCATCCTCCAACCCAGCTCAGCTGGAACTAGTCTCAAAAAAGGAGCATTCGGGCAGATTTACCTCTGTTCCAGACTCTGTTCAGCTTGGTCACATTACCTAGCAACTCAGCACAAATTACACTGATGAAAACAGTGGTTTAAGTCAAACTCCATTTCTAAATTCTTCATTTCCCACTGCTAGGCTCAGCCCCACCCCTGAACAGTTTGCAATAGGGGTCAGTTACACCAGCATAATTTACCCTTGCATAAATGACACTGGACTCCTATGGTTAGATTGTTCTGCCCCCGATGTACAAGGCTATGGCTCCTCCCCCTTCAAGATACATGGTAAGGAGATCCAGTCATTTCCCTGTTGTTGCTCCCACGTGTTTCAAAGGAACAGCCACAATTGATACACCTTGATGGCCTTCCTAATGCGTATTCACAAAACCAGTTCCCAATCACAATATGCAAGGTCCAAAGCAAATGTAAAAGCGGAACTTCAGAAACACAAGCAGCAAGAGAGGCAACATTAAGAAGTCATCAACCAGAACAGGACACACTGCTGTATTCATTAGCAGACTATGAGCAAGGATTAAGATATTGGATGCTACTGAAAGCATGTCTGAGAACATCAGCAGGGCAGATCAATACACACTAAATCAAAAAGTGCTTGTTGGGGGGGGGGTGCTATTGAAATAGTTTCCACATTCCCTCCTGGGAAGCCAAGAAAAGCCCACTGCAAAATGGCTATCAGTCAATTTGGACAAAACATTTCAAGCTGCTTTGAAATTTTAAAACTTTTGATGCTGCGGTGAGGTACACCATGCAAAACAAGATTCAAGGAGCAATCTTGTTTACTTGACTTGGAAGGGGGTAGACTCTTTTAAAAGCTACCTCAGTTTTGAAGACCAGGAATATGACTGCCACATCCCCCATCTCCTCTTTAGGATTTATTCTGAACAAAAAGCCAGTAAATAGCAATCTCTTGAAGAGGGACTTTAAAATGTACTCTCCTCTTTCTATAACAAGCAGGGATTGAAGCACCCTGCTAGTATTGTGCTTGAGACGCAGATCAACTTAGCCCATTTTAAAGCCACCACGGCAGGAGAAAGCTTTTTCCAGACCACATAGCCAAAGGACACCTTTGTTCAAAATGGGATGGAACAAAGCTTTGGAGCAGCTGTGTACTCTACACATTCTTTTTCTAGACCCTCTCATCCAAAACAAAGGGAAGCTTTGTATGGTGTGGAGTTTGTTTAGCGTCTGCCTGGAATAACGTTCCCACCGATGACACTGGGAGGGGTGCAAATTTTAGCACTGTTGCAAAAAAGCTCAGCACACCCAATTCTCTCTCTAAATCAGAGCAAGGATTAGAATCTCGAGAAGCGTGTAGAGAAATCCATAGAGGCTATCCATCATGTGACAGCCTCATTAGGAATTCCTTTTAAAACAACAACACTGCATTCACCAGTTGCGAAAACCCATGGGCTTCAATACATTGAAGATGAAAGTCTGTACACTTGTCACCCAAGAACCCCGAGATTAAGTCTGAACCCTGCATATAAAGTACAGCACAAATAAACCTACAGCTGGGACAGGATTGCCTCTTCATACATTTGAGACAGCCCAGCAGGGGGTCGGGGGGCAGGGGCAGGAGAGGGAGGATCTAGCAATAGCAAAAATGTATGTTTCAAGACTGCAAGCTTTAATGTATACACACCCACAGCGGGAGAAATTCCTGCATTCAGCTGCATAGGAATTTGAAAACCTCACATTCACACGCATACATAGTACTGCTGCAAGCTGTAATTGGTTGATCACTCAAATAATCCTTTAGTTAATTGGTGGGGGGCAAATTTTAATCCACTGCAATGCAAGCTAAAGGCACATGTTTGTTCTCTGATGTCATTTTCGTGCCTTCCTGTAATAGGCAATGAACGGAAATACTAAGATGACCTTCCGTCCCAACAATGAGCAGCAGTTTTTAAACTACTGCTTTACAGCTTTACACTTTTACACCTTCTGTGTCACAAAAGGCACATATATGAGGTACCTGTAACATCCCCATTTAATAATCAACTGGTGATTTGCACAGCAGACCAACTAAACAATCAGTTGACAATCCACATTCTATCTCACCTTTCCATCAAATATGCTCAAAGCAGCTTACAATATAAAGTTGAAACGCAGGTCATAAAAATAATAAAAAGTTGTGCCAATGAAAACCAGCAGCCTGTTAAAAAAAGGCAGGTCATAATTCAATTAAAAGCCAAAGTAAAAATACAGTTTTAACCCAGCACCTAAATGATAGAAGCCTAGGTTCAAGAGATGCCTTGGAAGGGAATACCAAAACCAAAGTACTACCATAAACATTGTAGAGTGCAAGCATTTCTGAATGCCTTTTGGACAATTTTTTATATCAAATTCTCTCCGTGTCAGTTATTAAGAAATGAAATAAAATGTTATTTAAATCAAACGAGGACAAATAAGTGGTTCTTGGTAGGAGAGGAATTCTTGCACTGCCGACTGGCAAAGTTTACGTCACATGGTGTGTCAAGTATAGAAGGGTACATCCGAATAATTGCATGATCTTTCAAATGCCATTAAATACCAAGAGCCGCACACCGTAGGGGTCTTGGATCACTTTGTCCCAAGTCTAATCGCTAGGGTCAGCCCTTTCTGACACAGCCGAAGACAAGCATGTGTTATGTGTATCAAACTCTTTCAATGCTAACCATGGTTAAAGAATTCAGTATCACCAAGGCTGTACATGGTTTGACAAGATTGCTGGGGAAACCTCAGAGCTGCAACAACAGGGCAGTAACTGGAGATCAGAGCTGAATGGAGAGGATGCCCACCCCAGAACGCCTAACCACACACACTGTAGTGTAGTCTAGGTATTACCATTAATATCAGCCCCCTGATGCAAAGCCATGCTCAAGAGAGCGTTGAAGAGGGGCGCATGAAACAAAAGAAAGGACAGCAACGCATGTGAAGTGGCCCAGCAGATTTTCACTCAGAATGGAAAAGCCAAAACTTCAGAGCTGAATAAAAGTAGGTTGTCCACTGTGTTTGATCAACTTGAAGAGTCACACAGCTGAATGTGCGCCTAGTGTTTCACACAAGAAAACAATCACAGGATCATATAATCACAGTAAATTGCTAGTTTCTCTAAATGTTTATTGTACTTCTGCAAACCTCAAGGTTCCTCCGAGCCTGCTGACACCTCCCTCTGCCTTGTGGATGGTACCTCTCTGGCTATATATGCGACGGCACTCTCACTGCCTGAATATCTGTAACAGATGGAACAAGTGGAGGTTGCAACAAAATGCTGCAGTGGATTATTCCTCCACCCTATTCTTCCCACCCAGTTTTCACCTCCACCCCTCCGATATTAATAAGTGCTCTATGGCCACTGCGCATGTCCTTTCCTCATGGGACCCACCTTGCAGACTCCCCACTCTGTCTTTTCGGTTTTTTAAAACAGTACCAGCCATCTCAGGCCCAGTTTTAGAAACTCATTGATACACAAGCTAATTGCCAAATAGCACCTTAAACCTAGGTTATAGTGTCACAATGGAGTGTCTAGGTGCCCTTTTTTGAAATGGAATTAATTATTGTTATTAATTTCATTTCTATACCACTTTATATTTTAAAGGAAAAAAATGTCAAAGCAGTTTACAACACATTAAAACATCAAATAAAACAATCCAGAACATAACAAATTCAAGCTTCAAGGAAAATATTCCAGATCCTTCTCTTAAATGAATTTGGCTTTCGCCATATTTACCTATGTAATTTGTAGAGCTGCCTTAGAGCATAAGTACTTTAGGAAGCCAGTGTGGAGCAGTGGTTAGAGTGTCGGACCTAGAACCTAGGAGATCAGGGTTCAAATCCCCACTCGGTCATGATGCTCCCTGAGTGAGCTTGGGCCAGTCACAGCCTCCTAACCTACCTCATGGGGTGGTTGTAGGGATTAGCTGAGAAGGGGGGTAAACCATGTACTCCTTTCAGAAAAAAGTGGGAGATAAAAGCAATAAGCAAGCTCTTCTGCTTACCTGCTTAAGAAAGCTGGAGGGACCAGCCAGATAGAGATGCCAGTCACCAACAGCCAAAGATCTCCACATGGTCACAATTGGACCGCGCATAATGCGCCTGGTGAATTTTGAACAGTGCTCAGTCTATACAATCACCAGGGGAGAACCTGCTGGTGTTGCAGCCACTTGGAGGTGCCTGGCCAGTGGCGTGCCCCATGTTTGTGGAATGCCCCCCTAATGAGGCACATCTGTCTCCCTCACTATTAATTTTTAAGAGAAATTTCAAAACATTATTTAGTCAGGCTTTGGATGACTGAAAGTCATGTCCCTGGCAATCCTGAAATTATTAGTTTGAGAGCAGACAATTGCTTTTAGGCATTTTAAACTGGTTTTCAGAAGGTTGTTCCAAACTGTTTCTACAAGTTTTATTTGTATTTAGTATTGATATGTTTGCTGCCATACGCTCCTTTATTATAAATCTAATAAAAGGCTGCCAATACCTCCATCTTGTGTGTGAATGATGCCATTTTGGTTTCATAAGGATCATTGCTCAGAGAATTAAGTTCACTATTAGTACACAAGCTTGTACCACACATAACACTTAACACATAAACACATTTGAACATTCCAAGTACTTCCAAGCCTGGTCATTTTTTATTCCATCCTTGGCATGGAATTCCCACCCCAAACAAATGTGGTGCCTCCACTCTCCTCTGCAAAACCCATATCTTCTGCATAGTATTTGGATTACTCCTTTAATCCTCATTCCTAACTATAACAAAGGTTTAAGACATTAAACTGCATTTGCCAACATTCCTCCCTCCTTCCTCTTTGACTGTAGGTATCTGTCCCAAATGCACTTATATATTTTGGCTGAATACTGTACCAGATATGCCGATGACACTACGTAATCCAAAGGTGGGGAACCTCAGGCCCCTGTATTGGTTCTTCCAGGCTGCGTCCCCTCCCTAGCCTTGCTCAGCACTTTCTTGAATGCTTCTGGCTTGGTTGGAATGCGCCCTTGAACTGTGCTAATGCCCTTGCTTCCCTGAATGGAGAGGGAAGTGTATGTAGAAACCTGACTGGAATGAAGCCTGCTATACAATGGAGAAAGTTCCATCCATCCTCAGCCTCTTCCTGTGGCATGTGATCCCTGGAAAGGTGCCCATTGAGGGAATGTGGACCAATGCTTGATCTAAAGAAACCATTACTGCTCTAACTGATGTAGTCTATTATCCCCAGATCATGATGAGGGTGAGGGATGAGATGGAGAAATAGCAGCTGGTTGAAGTTGTCAGTGGTTACCTGCCCCTAACGAGCAATCTGTTGTATACAAAGTCAGACCGTTTATCAATCTAGTTCAGTACTGTCTAACTGGCAGCATCTCTCCAGGATTACAGACGAGAGACTTCCCCAACTCATACCTGGAGATGCTGGGTATTGATTCTGGGATCTTCTGCATGCGCAGTAAGTGCTCTACTACCCCTGTAAAGCTGGGAAGGGGAGAAGCCCTAAAAAGCTGACAGCGTGATGTAGCTAAAAAGTAGGCCCCATGCCTTCATTAGTATTTCAACCACAGTCAAACATCATAATATAAGAGGCAGCCTGTCAAAGAGCAGCATCTGAACAGACAATTTACTGGAATTCTAACTCAAAGAGATGCCTCTGACTGGTTTGAGGTATCTGCTATATTATTAAATTTGACCATATTCCATCGTGCCAGACAATATTTTATTCATTAGTCATTCACCCAACATTAACCCTCTCATGTCAACAAGACTCCCTTTTAAGCTAACTGCCTAGCATCAAAATAGCCTGAAAGCATATTTTTAAAAAAGCTCATTGATGGGAAATCCAAGAAGCATGAAGCAGGTATAACCTACTGACAAATGAAGGGAAATACATCTACCATGAAAGCTGCACGTATTCTGTGGTTACTTGATGAACACTAGATCTGTTCTGCGTCCAAAACACATTCCTGGCAGCCAAAGTCACACAGATGTTACTCAGAAGGGGACACTGAAAAAAGATGGGCAGAAAACAGACATATACATTTCCAGCTTCTCAATGGAGAGAAGGGTAGAAGCCACAATACAAGGGGGTTAATAATTATTTCAGCCAGAAACAAAGAACTGGAACATTTCTTGAGTCAGCTGCATGTAAACAGGGGTTAAAACTACACCCATCATCCCTACCATGGGTTGCATCAAAGTAAGTAATAGTTTTTAAATGGGTCTACTCTGGGTATGATCTACTTGTTTACAAAAACAGGAATATTACTCAACTCCTGTTATGAGCCACATTACCAACTAGCATACACTGTTTTCCAATTACCTATGGCAGACATAATACTTAGCTATGGTTAGTTCCCGCTGGGATTTGTTGACTTCGCTCTGATCGAGAACTCAGTCATACAATGATGCTGGTTGGGCTAAACCCAGTCTCTGGAGAGCAGGTATAGGTGCCAATAAGCCCAGCTTCTAATCCTCCAAGCAAAGGCACAAAGAACCTGCTTTTACCAGTTTGTCACTGCAGATTAAAACTTAACCCTGGTTAGCGCAATCCCAAGATTTGCTATTCAAACCATAGTTTCACACACTTGTTTGCAGCCAATGCATAACCATTGTTTAAGTCAGCATTCCCCAACTTGATTCCTTCCAGCTGTTTTGGACTACATCAGCTTCCCAAGCAACAGACTCTCAGAAAAACACTTCTGCAGACTTCACATGCAACACAGAACATTTCTTTACCCCAGTTGCCTCTAACTGCCTTAAACATGATTGGTCCAGGTTCTAACTGCTCTAGCATATTCACAAACACTCCGCTCAATATGGGTAACTTTCTTATTACATTGACTTAGAAGTCTTAAACTCTTTTTCAACGGAAGAGCTCATTTCATCTATTCCTTATTGGCTTCAACCATTTTAACATAAAGCTGAAAGTATTTATCTTTTCATTGATACTTCAGAAGAATTGTGCCTTTCTCCACTGTAGTCTAAAATGCCCTAACCATTACTAAAAAATCCTCATTCTGCCTTCATGGGAGAGAATGCAACAAGCAACAACTGAAGTTAGGGAAGTTTGCTGAAACCATTGAAACTGGGATGCAAAATTATAATTAGGAGTTACACAGCAATAGTTTCAACTGAGAGTTGCAAATACCGATCTTTTAGAAGCTTACCCTTAAAAGTGGGAATATTTACAATGAAAGACTGAACTTCAAAACTAAAAATACAATATGTTAAAACTTTTGGGGTTAATTTGAGCAATGGGAGAAACCCCACAAGAAAACTATGTAAATATTCTTTGTTTTACCTCCTACCATTATCTACATAGAGGTAAAGTGAGAGCTGATGGCCAAAGGGGGTGAAACTGCCACAGCCAGGAGCCACCAGCTTAATTCCACCCCACCAACTCCCTAACCTTCCGAATCCATAACAATGCAACACCTAAAAACATAAATCACTCAACCAACAGGAACAGCTGTGCACCAAGAGGTCACTCTCAGAGGACTTTGGGGGAGCATTTGCAGCCTTCAAAAATAGATTTTAAGAGCATCCAAGAATATTCTTAGTCTAAGCAGAAGCTACTCTTGTCACCTCCGGGTCTAACATCTGGGATGAGTGAAACACGCCCGGAGTTAAGGGACTTTGTGTACTGACCTTCCCTTGCCACAGGCCTGATGCCCCTCCCTCTCCAAGCTGCGGTGAGGGGATACCTACTTTTCCCACAGCCTGATGGAGCCACGACCTTTCCCCCACCCCGAACCCAGACCTTGTGAGGCAACTGGATTCCTCCTCGCTCACAGAAGCTTCACACGTTGGTGCCTCCAGCGCCCCCCCCCATATCACACACTCGTTTGACCTCTCTTTCGGCAGCACCTCCTCCAGGAGCCCTGCAACCCCTAATCCATCCCGTGCCCACCCTCTCGCCCCACTCCCTGCGCCCCCCATTCTTCCCTTCCCCTTTCCCCCAAGGATGAACTCCTGCAGCCCCCGACTCCTCCTGCCCCTGGCTTCTCCCGAGGATGGCCCCCTCGTTCTACTTATGCCAAGGCCTTGTGCCGCACAGGCCGAAGCCTCGTTTCCCCTCCCTCGCCTCTGCCACCCCTCTAGCCCCCTCAACCCCGGAGCGACCCCTCCTGCCTCCTAAACCCAATGACCTCGGCACCCCCCGCTTCTTCGGGCAATCCTTTAGCAGCCCTCTTCCTTCCCAGCCGGCCATCCCCTCCCTTATCCCAAAGGCCAACCCGCACCCTCCTTCCCGGCTCTCCCGTCCCACAGAGGCGCCCCGGAAGCTGCCTTCGCCGCCGTTGGCGAGTCTCGAGGCCTGGCCCCCGCTTCGTCCCCTGCAAGGCCAAGAGGAGGCCTCAGAGAAGCTGAGGGGCCTGAGGGGGGCGTGAGGGGAGAAGCAGCCCTCGGCTCCCCTAGGCCCAGGGCGTGAAGGCCGGGAGCCGGGGGCGGGGAGGAGGCCGCCGGGCAGCCAGCCGGGCCTCCGCCGCTCACCTCTCCCTCGCGCCGGCGCCGCCTCCGCTGGAGCTGCCGGGGCCCGCGCGCCTCCTTCCCCATGCCGCCATCTTGGAGAGACTCGCTTCGGAAATGTCTCCGCCAAAAGTGAAGGCGGGGGCGGGGGAGGGAAGGGCGCGCGCGGTGAGGCGAAGGGGGAGGGAAGGAGGGGGGGAAGGGTCCCGAGGCCTGCTGGGAAACGTAGTCCTCTGTAGGGTGGGGGCGGGGTGGAGAGGTGAGCTTGCTCCCATTCGGAGGGGAGAGGCGGGGCAGGGAAAGGGAGGATTAAAAAAAAAAAAAGCGGGAAAGGTTCCCGCTCCGCGCTCGAACCACAAGCCCCAGAGTGCTTCGCGCGGCGGCGTTTAGCGGGAGAGGTCGGGCTCCCCTTCCCTCGCGGCTACGCATGGGAAATGTAGTCACGTTGTGAACGAGTTGGGAGGGAGCTTATAGGAAAGCGGGAGGGGCGAGGAACTACAGTTCCCAGGAAGCCGCGGGGCGCAAGAGCCATGCGGTCGTCTCTCGCAAAGCCACGTGGGTCTGAGGGAGAACGTTTACCAACACAGGAGAGCAGGGAGGGAGGAGGGTCCTGAGCGTGCTCCGCCCCCTGTTATGAACACGGCCAATCACAGCCGGCGCCTTTCAGAACGCTCGTGTCCTGCAGCTGCGCCAAGAAGCCTTCTTTTTGCAAGGAGTTTATTTGAAAGCAGCTGCCACTTATTGTAATAGGATTTACATCCAAGGAACTGCTTAGTTTACGGCCTTGCTGCCCCGATCCCATTGTGTTTAATGCAGCCATTTCTGTTTATTTTTTAGAGGAGTTTTACATCCTGGGATTACAGCGTCCCATAGTTTAGGTCATTTGGGTCACACAGAGGAACACATTTATTTGTTGATTGTAGTTCTATTCCACCTTTTCCTCCAAGCAGCAGAAAATCGGCACACATGGTCCCCTCCCCGCCTCATTTAAATCCACAACAGCCTTGTGAGGTGGGTGACTGGCCCAAGGTCACCCAGTGAGTTTCATGGCTGACTGGGAATTTGAACCCTGATCTCTCAGGGCCTAGTCAGACACTCCCAACCCCACACCATGCTAGAAGCTTCCTTAAGATTATGTACTTAAAACTACAGGATTTAAAATTGGCGGGCAGCATGCTTCTGAAAGCCAGCTACAGTGGTACCTCAGGTTACATACGCTTCAGGTTACATACGCTTCAGGTTACAGACTCTGCTAACCCAGAAATAGTACCTCAGGTTAAGAACTTTGCTTCAGGATATGAACAGTTTCAGGTTAAGAACAGACCTCCGGAATGAATTAAGTACTTATCCCGAGATACCACTGTACTGGGAATCACCAGTGTGGATAATAGCACTGCTGGGCTCAAGGTTCTGCTTTTGGGCTTCTCATTCATTGAGGCATCTAATTGGGTGCTGGTGCAATGCTGATTTTGTTGTGGTTGTATGTTTTGAATAGATCTCATTCATATGTGTGTGAATTGGTTTTAAATAATTGTCATTCCTCACCTCCCAGTTTTCAGCTGTTCTTTATTTTGGCTGTAAGCTGCCTCGAGTCCCTGTCAGGGGGAAAAGTTGAGGCATAAATAAACGTATAGTGATCATTATACATTATCTAGTTTGCCATTGTGAAAACAGGGTGCTGGACTAGACAGCCTTTGGCCTGATCCTGTGGGGCTCTTCTTACGTTCCAATTTGTCCATCTGTGTATCATTAGATAGTATTGTCTGCTCTGACCTTCAACTGGCAGGAGCTGTCCAGGGTCTCATACAAAGATCTTTCACTTCACCTGGCATGTGAGGCTTCTTAAATGAAGAGGAAGGGAAGCTCTGCATGCAAAATGGGTTCTTGCCACTGAACCTTTGCTACTACATGGCTCATCTTTTTGACCTATTGGACTGGACCCTGTTTTATAGGATTTTATAGGCGGCATTTTTTCATCTCCGCCAAGCTAAGCAGTTGGCGCCTTACCTCTCTCGTCCTGACCTAGCCACTGTGATCCATGCGACAGTCACCTCCAGACTGGATTATTGTAACTCGCTCTACGTGGGGCTGCCCTTGAGACTGACCCAGAAACTCCAGCGGGTGCAGAATGCCGCAGCGAGACTCCTTACGCGGTCCTCGGTGCGAGATCACATTCACCTGGTGCTATACCAGCTGCACTGGCTCCCGGTGGAGTACAGGATCAGGTTTAAGGTGCTGGTTTTAACCTTTAAAGCCCTATACGGCCTAGGACGCTCGTACCTACGGGACCGCCTCTCCTGGTATGTCCCACAGAGGAACTTACAGTCTGCAAACAAAAACATCTTGGAGGTCCCAGGCCACAGAGAGGTTAGGCTGGCCTCAACCAGAGCCAGGGCTTTTTCGGCTGTGGCTCCGATCTGGTGGAATGCTCTGTCACAAGAGACTAGGGCCCTGCGGGACTTGACATCTTTCTGCAGGGCCTGCAAGACAGAGCTGTTCCACCAGGCCTTTGGCCAGGGCACAGCCTGACTCCCTCCTTTGGCAATCCTCACAGAACTCTAGCCCAATGGTTGCCATTAATCTGATTTGAATTAATTTTATAATGAAATGATTTTATAATGTTGTATCATGTTACTGCTCTGAGCCCGGCTTCGGTTGGCGAGGGCAGGATATAAATAAAAATTTATTTTTATTTTTATTATTATATGTTTGGATCCTTTGAATTTCTGTTTTATTTGCTTTTATGCATTTTCATGCTGCTGTTATTGTTGGTTTCAGGTTGCATTTTAGTTTTAATTATATATTGGGTTGCATCCAGCTAGCTTTTACTCAGCATAGATCCATGGAAATGAATAGACCTAAGCCAAAGAGCCATGCCCATTAATTTCAGTGGGTCTATGCTGTGTAATTATTAGGCACCATTCTTTTATTTATTAAACTTGCTAGTTGCTCGTTACCGAAAAAGATCTCCAAGTGACTTGCTGTGAAAAACATTTACGTAAATGCGTGATACCAAGAGAAAAATTCATATAAAGTATTAACATCCCATACAACATTAAAAAACAGTCACCCACAACAGTGAAAGGTGACAATGTTGACCCAGATCAGATGCTCTGAAACAGAAATGAGGAACCTTTGGCCCTCTAAATGTTGTCAGACTCCAACTTCCATCAGCTCCAGGTAGCATGGTCAATGGTCAGGAATGATGGGAGTTGTAGTTCGGCAGTGCCTGGCGTTTCCCTTTTCCTACTCTAAAACCTACATATAAATGAACTCATGGATGCTGCCCTACTGAGAACATAATGTCTTTGAGCAGCCAGGTTAACTGCTGCTGCTTGCTGGTAGCAATTCACATGATTGCAGCAGACCCTGTATTTTTAATTTAAATAATAATAATAAAAACACTTGGAGAAATCAGTACCAGGAAGTGGCCTGACCAGTGTGGTCACACTGGGCTAAACATTACTTCCTCCATTCAGCTGCATAAGGCATTTTAGAGCATCTGAATCAGAGCTTCCCATAGGTGCATTTGCAAAATGGCTTTTAGATATTGCCTGAGATCTTGTGTGTTATGGTCACCATGAGGTGCTATGACTGGTGTGTGGAACGGTTCTGAGCAGTATCCCTTCTTCCCAACAGCTGTGAGAATTGGACCAAAGTGGGTGCATAGCTAGGCCCAGTCTTGATAAAATTAATGCAAACAAGCAGTGACATAGCAGGAACACATGTTCATCTCTGAGCAGAAGTTCGTGTCATTTCAGGGGTGCTTTGGGCTGATCCACTTGATAACCAGAGCATCATGTGCGAATGGACTCTCCTCAAAGTTGAGGTGACAATCAAATGATACAATATGATGAATCTTTTGTGATTCTTGTGTGTACGAATGAGCCATCAGCAATCTAAGGTATCTCTTGCACATTAAGATAATGTCATCAACGGTCTGCTCCTTCTTTGGCCTCTGCCCTCACTGATACTTGTTTGTTTTTCTGGAATGTACAAGTGGGATCTGCAACAAAAAGTTGCAGCACAGAATGCTCTTGCTTGGAGGGGCATGTCTTCTTCCAGGACACCCCATTACATTCCTTCTCCCAACATTTTCCATACCTCAACAGCCAGCATTCCATGGCCGCTGAGCCACGATTGCTTTGGGCTCTTGTGCAAGGTTTATGTGAAATGGCCCTCAAGAACTGGACATCTGCCAGGATAAATATTGGTATCTAGTCATTCCACAATATTGAGAACATGTATGTAATCTCTAAGGGCAAGGTGAAGCCAAGAAATAACCTTCACTCACCACAAGTGACTAAACCTCCATCTACGTTATACTTTTAAAGCAGTATTATGCTACTTTAAATTATCACGACTTCCCTGAAAGAATCCTGGGAACTGTAGTTTGTTAAGGGTGCCGAGAGTTGTTAGGAGACCTATTCCCCTCACAGGACTACAATTCCCAGAATTCCCTGGGAAGAGGGATTGACTGTTAAGCCACTCCAGGAACTGCAGCTCTATGGCAGGAATAGGAGTCAATCTGGAAGTGCCCATAACTAAAGCCCTGCAGGATCATGCCCAAGGCACATCGAGTCCAGCATCTTGTTCTAACAGTGGCAAACCAGGTGCCAATGGGAAGCCCACCAGCAGGATCTGACCACAACAGTCCTCTCCCTACTGATATTCAGAAACATACACCTTTGATACCGGACATAGTGCATAGCCTTATCTTCCATGAATATGTCTAAACCTCCAAGAACATTGGCCATGCTGCCTGGGGTGAGAGCTGGAGTCAAACCACCAGGAGAGCATCATGGTGGCTCTCTCTACTTTTAGAGTTTTGAAATGTATTCCTAGAGACACTGCCTTTACATTTTTTAATGCCCACAATTTAATCCACGCGAGTTACCTCTTCTCTTAAGTTACATGTCCTTCCCCATCAAATACCAGCAAGACAAGTCAATGCCGATTGGTTTAGCCACACATTTTTATTGTATACCATGCAATAGGGCCGGGTTTCCTTAATAATATGACAAATGGGGGAAGGATAATGTTAGACACAAACAACAACAGAAAGATCATTTTAAGAGGTCCTGAGTAGGAAAGGCACATTATTTACCACTTTTAATTGAATAGTAAGGGGTTGGGGGCAATGAAAATATATCCACATTGAGTGGAAAACAACACTGGAGGACAAGTCATAAATAGATATTCCATTTGGTGGTTTGGGGAGTTATTCAATTGTCTGTGTTTCCCCAATTAGCTTTATAGCTTGTGCCTTCAACACATGAGTAAGGGAGATGTCTCCATCTTCTGTTCTGTTCTCCAGCAGCAAGCCGTAGCAATTGTCTTAGCAAGCTGCAAGGGAGATGCCCCATCACGGAAATAACCTAGAGTCAAACTGGGGAACCTGTGGCTGTCCAGGTGTGGCTGGACTCTAACTTCCACCACTTCTGAACATTGGCCATGCCAGCTGGAGGTGATGGCAGTTGGGAAGTCCAACAACACCCAGAGAGTCATGGGTTCTCAATCCCTGATCTAGACAGGGAGAGAAGTCGTTTCCACCCCACCACAGTTGCTTCTGCAAATCTCTTGGTGGCAAGGGATGAGTAACTGGAAACTCCAGCTTGGAACTGGCAAGCACTGCTATTCAACATAATATCAAAACACAGAGAACAGAGAAGGGGGTGGACCCAGCAGTAAACCCTTGGTGTTGTAATAAAATACTATCAAAACACATCTCAGGTGGATCAGAGACTGAAATGATGGTTGTAGCACCTTCTGGATGAAGCTGCAGCACTATCAAAATACTGAGCTTGTTTTTAAGGCAGGGTTGGCCGGCCTTGATCTCACTAAGCTCTCTCAAGAAATCAAAACGAAGGACCCTCCACTGCAGTCATCCTAGGCAGAAACTCTACCTGCGTTGAACAGTGGTATACATGAGCAGGAGATGCAAGTCCGTGTTTCTGACAGCCATAAATGCCTGCCTAAACACACACACACACACACACACACACACACACACACACACTCAGTGTACAAAAAAAGTAGTGGGACTAGGATTGCATTCACTGCTTGGTTCTTTCCACATGACACCCGACAGCATACCTAGCACGAGTGCTGCATTGAAATGTTGATCTTATCAAGACAAGGGGATTGGCAATCATGATACGGTGAACATCCACACCAGACATTTCAAGCACTCTTATTCCGCTTTTAACAGCCACGGCTTCCCCTAGAGAATCTTCCGAATTCTACGTGACTGTGAAAGCGGTACAAAAGTGCTTTAAAAATATGGTGCGGACGTAACAGCAGTTACAGAACGGTAAGAAACTGGTGGCTTCCTCTGCCCATCTGCTTTAGCTCCCTTCGGCCCTGAAATGGGCAGAGGTCTACCCATTTTCCAACCCAAAAATGTCAGCAAGGGTCGGCAGGGGTGTGCGTCAAAGAGCGGGGGAGAGAGTGAGTTGTCAGGAGAGTGGAAATACATCAGATTTCCCTCCACAAATGCCACAACTGGTTCTCTGCTGTTTTAAATACAATACAGATAAGCACCAATCAACCTAGCTTCCTGCTGAAAGGAGTAATGTTACCACGGGGACCCATGGTCTTATTTCAGCCAAACCCACCGGCTATATTGTTGAAGAACCAAGCCGGGCAAGAGAGGGGGACATTTCAAAGCGATAAATGCCTGGAACAGAGAAGCCCCTGTGGCCTGCCGTCACCATGGCAGCCTGGCCTAGCCCGCCTTGCTGAGAAAGCTACAATAGCTCTTAAGTCGAGTATAAGTCTCCACACAAGGACTTTGGAGCAGAGGGACAGGGTTTGGGCAACATGATGGAAAGGGGAAGCCAAAATTAAGTGTTGAAAAACTAGAGAAAAAAATGTTATTGCCATTTTCGATCATGTAACCCACAGGCATGCGGAGATGAGGTTCAAGTGTTAATTACTTCTCCATCCACACGAACGCTGCTTAGAGCAAGCCACAGAACAAGCCAAGTCCTCCTCTTTTCTTTCCGACAGCTTTCACATGCTTATGTCCAAGGCAGCCAAGCAAATCCTGTTTTTTTTTGCACTGTCCGTTTCTGTCAGTAAGTCAGCTGAGGTTTACTTGCCGCGGCTTTTTCCTTGGCTCATCTCCATTTGGGACCCTAAAAAGTGGCTGCCGATCGTGACTGGCTTTCCTGTTGTTAAAATGCCCAGGATTCGTTTGCCTTGCACAGCTTCCTCTGCCCTGCCATTTCCTTCCTTCCTCCTGCTACCCGTTAAACTCTCAGTCTTGTTATTGCTTCTCCCGTGTGAGAGGAAACGTCCGCCACTTGAGGAGGAGAGCTCTGGAAGGGGGCGAGGAAGAAGAATCCCACCAAAACCCAAAACGAAAACAAAACAGGCCCTTTCCTTTTCCAATGTGCAGTCAAGTTTTTCAGCCTTCCATCCCAAACGAACCGGATCGCTTAATTACACCTTTCGCCTCTGGGTGGCCACCCAGGTAGGCCGTTCCCTTGTTGTGGGGAACAAAATTCACCATGTACACTTGCTAACTGTCTCACTCAGTCCATATTGCTCACGTCTGCAGAAGCACATCGGAGTGACACAGTTTTCTCGTCTCTAAAGCATCGTGTTTATTGCAGTTAGCACCGAAAACCTGCTTCCTTTCCAAGTCCAACCCCTGCGACAGCCACGGTTTATTTTGCATTGTGAGTTGGCATCCCGACGTAGTAAAATGTGCTTAAGGGCCTAAGTGGATGTTTAAAAAGACCGTTGCCTCTGCAGGGTTGTCGATTTCCAGCTTTTCCCAACCCTGCGTTGGCAAGGAAAGCGGTGCCTGATCTCAGATCATTCTGCTTGATGCTTATTATTTCGGGAGGAAGAACCAAAATTAGGAGGTGACCCCCGCTCGCCCACCCCTCTACTGCCACAACGCTAACGAAGGCCTAGTTTTACACCTGATGGTTTCCTTAAGATAGGAGGCCGATGTAAACAACAAACATCCAGGTGAGACCAGCTATCACAAGAGCCAGGTGGAAGCATTGTTGAGGAGTTGCACGTTTGTCTTTACAAAAATAAGAACTCTTGAGCATGTGCAGGGGGCTGTTCAGGGGTCCCAAGTCAGCCCACAAACAAAAGCTGCACTGGGCCATCTAGAGAGGCCAGGTTCGCTCATGTCTTAAGGAGTGTAGGCTTTTCAGCCTTCCTGCGTTAAGACTGTAAACGTTCCAGATACTGAGGCAGTGGGTTCTCCTTGACGTATTTCTGGATGTACCAACACGTCAGGTGGGCTTTCAAGTCCTCTTCGACCACAAAATCCAAGGCTGCCTGAAAACACAGGAAAGCGAAAGAACCACCATCAACATCTTGCAACGTCAAGCGCTGTCAGCTGAGTTTTCTGCTTTGAAACACTGGCTGTTTGCTGGGTAAGGGTCCAAATTTCTGGCTAAATAGGGTTTGGCTGTCCGGATGTGCCACTGCAAATGTTTAGCAAGCAAGCATATTTTTGAAGAAAGAGTGAGGTCACATCCATAGCCTACAACAAGCATAGGCAAACTTGGCCCTCCAGATATTTTGGGACTACAGTTCCCCTCATCCTTGACCACTGGTCCTATTAGCTAGGGATGATGGGAGTTGTAGTCCCAAAAACGTCTGGCGGGCCGAGTTTTCCTATGCCTGCCCTACACATTTAGAGCACGTGGCTCCCATCCCAAAGAATCGTGGGTACTGTAGTTTACCGCCCCCCCGAGCAGCGGCTCCCACCACCCTTAAACCACAGTTCCCAGGATTCTTTGGGAGAAGCCCTGTGCTTTCAACGTATTGTAAGGATGTGGCCTTAAAAGTGCAACAAGTAAGCCACATAGAGGTTGCTGGTGCATGTTGAATATGTGGTCCTACCGTGCATACTGATTTTCAGTAATATAAATTACAAGCTGGTTTGCCCCATCCTTATTTTTATTTTTTTGTTGATGCTCGTCACCTTGATTGTCTTAACCAGGGCTGCAATGTTAAATGGATTTATTATTATTATTATTATTATTATTATTATTATTATTACTACTACTACTACAGTGGTACCTCGGGTTACAGACGCTTCAGGTTACAGACTCCGCTAACCCAGAACTATTACCTCAGGTTAAGAACTTTGCTTCAGGATGAGAATAGAAATCATGCAGCAGAGGCACAGCGGCAGCGGGAGGCCCCATTAGCTAAAGTGGTGCTTCAGGTTAAGAACAGTTTCAGGTTAAGAACAGACCTCCAGAACGAATTAAGTTCTTCACCCGAGGTACCACTGTATTATTATTATTATTATTATTATTATTATTTTAAAAGAACATTAATCAGGAACACATTTTTAATTGATTCATTCAGACAGCAGATTTTAACATGCTAATGTCAGGAACCTAGGAAAATGCTTTATACTGAGTCAGACCATTAGTCCATCTAGCTCAGGGGTCAGCAAACTTTTTCAGCAGGGGTCCACTGTCCCTCAGACCTTGTTGGAGGCCGGACTATATTTTTGGGGGGAAATGAACGAATTCCTATACCCCACAAATAACCCAGAGATGCATTTTAAATAAAAGGGCACATTCTACTCATGTAAAAACACATTGATTCCTGGACCGTCTGTGGGCCGGATTTAGAAGGTGATTGGGCGGGATCAGGCCCCCGGGCCTTAGTTTGCCTACCCATGATCTAGCTCATTATTGTCTTCACTGACTGGCAGAGGGTCTCCAAGATTTCCAGCAGGGTTGCCCCTCAGTCCTGGAGATGCCAGGGACTGAACCTGGGACCTTCTGCATGCAAAGCAGATTGTGATTATGATTTACTGAATTTGTGTACAGTGGTACCTCGGGTTACATACGCTTCAGGTTACATACGCTTCAGGTTACACACTCCACTAAGCCAGAAATAGTGCTTCAGGTTAAGAACTTTGCTTCAGGATGAGAACAGAAATCATGCTCCGGCAATGCGGCGGCAGCAGGAGGCCCCATTAGCTAAAGTGGTGCTTCAGGTTAAGAACAGTTTCAGGTTAAGTACGGACCTCCGGAACAAATTAAGTACTTAACCCGAGGTACCACTGTACTGCAAATCTCAGGGTGATTCACAACATAAAAAAATACAATGTATAAGCACAAAATACATGCTAAAAACAAGAACATACAAACAAACCAATAACACCCACCCAAACACCAAACCAACCCTAAAACTGCAGGTGGCAAACGTCATCTTGAAAGTGGTATTTCCCCCCCACACCAAAAAACCCCATTTCATGCCCTGCAAGTGTCCCAGAAAAACTAGGGCATCCCATTTTCTCTCGTGAGAGAATGGTGGTAAATTTGGAGTTTGATCTTACATGATTTCACGCTGAAATTTCCCCCTGAGAAAAGTGGTTTTTTGGGGGGCCACAAACTCGCACAGCACTCAAAAAAGCACAGTCATGTCTTCCCTCAAAAAATTTTGGGAGCTGTAGTTTGTTAGACTACTCCAATTTCCCTCCCAGAGTCTTCTAACAGCACCCGTAAGAAACTAAAACTCCCAAAATTCTTTGAGGGAAGATAGTATCATAGCATATGATGTGGCCTAAGATCATATAATTGTACCACTGGTGTCTTCTAAAGTAATGTCTGTAACAACACATGTGTAAATTCTGGTCAGCCAAGGAGGGCATATAGGGATGGGGGACAGAATTTTATTCAGGTTACATTTAAAGCCAAATCTATCATAGTCACACTTTCTGAAGCAATCTGAAATACAGTCATCGTTAGAAATCTACACTTCTTCGAGTTTTGCGATGTGGTTCTCCAACCAAACAGTATTTTTAAAAATGCAAATATTAGGGGAAAGTGTTCATAAGAACATTTTCACGCATAATTTTTTTAAAACTGCATTGTATCAGGGGAAATTGCCTGCAAAAATGTGTACATTAGCCAGAACTGCATACAAAAATGTGTTCATTATAATAAATTTGCACTGAAATGCTAGTGAATTTTCATGAGGATTAAAAATATATATATAGCGCAGATTGAATGTGGAGAATTGAATTCCATATTGGAAAATGAGAAACAGAGAACCAAAATAGAGAGTTCCTTCTGATCCTAGAGGGCAGGCATACAAAAATCCTTTGCATTTACAGCCCACCTGCAAGCAAATGGTCCCAGGGTGGGTTAAAAATATAAATATAACAAATATGCATAACGTACTATACATTAAAATCATAAAATAAAAACCAGTAATGTTTCAGAAACATATTTGAAAAGACAATGCTACTAGACCTCAAGGAATTAGGATTGCCCCAACAAAGACAGCAGCTGCTGTTTTACCGGGTCTTTCTACGGTTTTTAGAAGTTTTTATTCTAAAATATTGTTCTTCTCCTCCCCTTTTCATTGACGTTATGCTTTGTGTGTGTTTTTTAAGATGCTTAGTACCTTTTTATGTAGCTATGCTTTAACTTTCTAACTTGCCCTGGGACCTTGGTGTGAAGGGTGGAAAAACAAGTACAGTGGTACCTCGGGTTACATACGCTTCAGGTTACACACTCTGCTAACCCAGAAATAGTACCTCGGGTTAAGAACTTTGCTTCAGGATGAGAACAGAAATCATGCTCTGGTGGCACAGCGGCAGGAGGAGACCCCATTAGCTAAAGTGGTGCTTCAGGTTAAGAACAGTTTCAGGTTAAGAACGGACCTCTGGAACGAATTAAGTACTTAACACGAGGTACCACTGTAATAACGATGATAAATGCTGGGACGATATTATCAAGCTTGTGTATGGGAATTTAAAAACAAACAAAAAAGACAAAAGCAGCTTGGCTAAGAAAGTTGCTCAGGGATACACAAAGCCATTGTCTGGATGCTTAAGGAAGCCTCTGAATGCCACCTCTGATTTGATGTTCGTGAAATAGCTATCTCTTTAAGATGTGGCAGGAATTCCTCCTGGCACAGACTGGGCCCCCTTTATCACGGCCTCATGCAGACAAAGGAAGCTGTAAATTGTCCTCATCTCCCCTATGTCTGTTGCAAAGGGGAGGGAGGGAGGAAGGGAGCAGGATTACCACTGGAGAGGAAGAAAAGCTGCACATGCAGGAACAGCAGGACTCCCCTCCCCAACCCCCACAAATGGGTCAGGGGTGGGCAGAAATAAGAAAATCCCTACTGGGAGCTTCATGGATCAAAATTGCAAACCCATGCCACTTCTACCAGAAATTGCAGCTTTCCTTTCCCTCTTTTTCCCAATGCAATATAATGTAATAAGCGCTGCACAGTTCTCCTGGATCATTAGCTAATTTAGCGAACGGATGCTGGAGCAGGGGGAGAGGGCAGGCAGAAGGGACGGCGGCTCAAATGCAGCGGATCCAAGAGAATGGAGAGCTCTGGAATCAGGAATGAGCAGCTAAGAGAGAATCAAGAACTCTGGGATTCCGCTGTATGTATGTATGTGCACACACACACACACAAAAACACACACGCTTCAGATTGCAGGGAAACAACTGGTGCCTGGTTAGATCTCCATGCCTGGCTGCAGTAGTTTGGCCTGGATGAAGCCAACAAGACAGGGGCACTATTAGGAAGTGGTTGATAATAATAATTAATAATATTTTTTATTATTTATATGCCGCCAATCTGACTGGGTTGCCCCAAATACCCCGTAGGCTCCCAGTGAAATATTAAAAGCACGATAAAACACCAAACATTAAAAACTTCCCTAAACAGGGCTGCTTTGAGATGTCTTCTAAAAGTCGAACAGTTGTTTATCTCCTTGACATCTGATGGGAGGGCGTTCTACAGGGTGGGCGCCGCTACCGAGAAGGCCCTCTGCCTGGTTCCCTGTAACCTCACTTCTCACAATGAGGGAACTGCCAGAAGGCCCTCGGCGCTGGATCTCAGTGTCTGGGCTGAACAAAGGGAGTGGAGATGCTCCTTCAGGTATACAGGGCTGAGGCCGTTTAGGGTTTTAAAGTTAACACCAACACTTTGAATTGTGCTAGGAAACGTACTGGGAGCCAGTTGTTCAGGACTGGTTATTATATGGTCCCGGCGATTGTTCCCAGTCCCCAGTCTGGCTGCCGCATTCTGGATTAGTGGTAGTTTCCGAGTCACCTCCAAAGGTAGCCGAGATAAGTGGCAATTTACCTTGTTTGGGAGGAAGCTGCCCTTGCTGTGAAGGGCATGTCGCCAATCCATGGCCTACAGGCCACAAGCGGCCCTCAGCCGACTTCCATGTGGTCCAAAGACTGCCTCCCCAGATTGCTGCACCTCCTCCCTCCCCATCACTGCCCAGCTGATAGTCATTGGAAACATCTCGAGGAAGACATTGGCACCAATCAGCTGAGGAATAAGGAGAGTTGAACCTCCCCATGTGAAAGGTGTGTGCAAGATTGTGTGTATAAGCTGGTGAGAGGGTGGAGAAGACCAGGTGAAGAGAAACCCAGCCCTCAAACCACTGTCACATTCAGACCTTGGGGCCAAAAAGGATGCTCTTTCAGAAAAGCTCATGTTCATCACTTGGATGACACACTTGGATCCATCACTGTAACAAGAGACACAAGTGGCTTAAGTGGCACTCAGAGCCTTTTACAAACTTAGGGTCACCTAAGATATCAACCTCTTGGGGTACAGATTACTTGAAGGTCAGCAGTTCATGCTCTGCTAAGCATTCTGTCTGCATTACAGTGGTACCTATGGATGCGAACGGGATCTGTTCCGGAGCCCTGTTTGCATCCTGAAGCGAACACAACCCATGTCTGCACAGGTCGTGATTCGTCGCTTCCGTGCATGTGCGTGATGTCATTTTGAGCGTCTGTGCATGCGAAAGTGGTGAAACCCAGAAGTAACGCGCTCCATTACTTCCGGGTTGCCGCAGAGCGTAACCTGAAAACGCTGAACCTGAAGCACATTTAACCTGAGGTATGACTGTACTGCAATACTGTTGCACAAGGAGCTACCTTTGAAAATAGTCTAGAAATGTCCTCTTCTACAGAATCTACAGAATCAGAACCGGGCATTACGAACGTATTATGCTGGTCCCCTCTAGCTTTCACTCTCTTCTGATTTGTTTCCAGACCCATTTTAAAGTTAGGTTGCTTTCAACCAAGTTCTACGTAGAAAGGAAACCCAGCAGGGAAATTTGTCAGTTTTGGTTTTGCTCCATTTTTCATTTTTTCAATCCTAAATTCATTTCCATACCAATTTGTGATTATTTTTTAAAAAGAATAAGCCTCACGAAAATTCATCAGCCTTTTAGTTCTAATGTAACCAAATGCAGACATTTTTCTTTTGCAAAACACATTTTCTTACATAATGCATTTTTGTATGTTATTTTCAGCAATATGTGCATGTTCTACTCTACCATGTATATTTTTGTACACATTACTTGGGCTGGAGAACCGCACTACAAAATTCAGAATTCCAAAGGGTGAATTAGTTAGATTCACCTTTAAAATATGAATTGAAACAAATTTCTCTCAATACAGTCATACCTTGGGAGTTGAATGGAATCCGTTCCATAAGTCCATTCTACTTCCAAAATGTTGAAAAACCAAATCATGGCTAAGCCCTATCAGACGTTCAGCTTCCAAAAATAGTTTGCAAACCGAACAGTCACTTCCAGGTTTGCGACATTCAGGAGTCAAAACATTCGGAACTAAGCTGTTCAAAAACCAAGGTACAACTGTACTTCTGTATCACTTTGCAATTCCCCTCCCCTCTTTCTAACAAAAGATCCTTATGAAAATTCACCAACCTTTTGGTAAGGTTTTCTTACGCACAAAGTTTTGTATGCAATTTTGCCAAATATACACATTTTTGCAAAAAGAAAGTTTCCCAATATAATGCATTTCTGGATGTTAAGTTTCATCGATACAGGCATTTTCATGAACATTTTTCGTGTGTGTGTGTGTGTGTGTACGTACGCATGTGTGTGTGGTAGAGAAAGTTTAAGTTATAATATCCAAAACCATAAATAAAACGAAATGAAAAAATTGTTCATATTTATTGGCTGGAATACTGCACTGCAAAACTGGAAGAAACAGAGATTTTGAGGGTTGGGGTTTTGTGCCTGTATTGTTTTGCAAAGTGTGAATTAGGTAGGTTCACCTTTAAATGCAAGCTAAATAAAATTTCGCCCCTATACCTAGAAAGGTGGTAGACTATGCACTGCCAGCACGGTGCATTCATGCAAATGCAATTCCCTACCAGCGTGCTGCAGACAAGCAGGGCAAGCAATAAAATAAACAAACCAACAAACCATTTAAACAGCAATCTGACAGGCAGAAATGTGGCAGATAAAGCTTCTCCGACCAGCTTTTTCACCTCCTCACATTTGTCAACATCAGGCTACCACTGAACAGAGAGGAGCCAGTCAACAGACGTGGGCAGCCTCTTTTCCTTCCATCCCTCGGGAGAGCATCTCTTGTTCTCACGCTGAAGATCAAGAGAGGACATCAGGAAGAGAGAGCACGTCACATCTGCTGCCTGCCAACCCTCGTTATGGAAATGAGGAAAATCACAGGCAATCAAATATGCAAAAACGAGCCTTCTCCATCTCCACGCCTTGCCCACCCTGGTGCTACTACTCCCAAAGAGACCAGGTTCCGCTTCTGGAAAACAGGAGGGCTAAAAATAGCAGGCAAGCGTTGAGAGAAGCAGGGCTTAAAGAGGGGACAGAGGAGGAGGCAGCAGTGCAGAAGGATAACGCGGACATTCGTCAGGGTTTATTAGAGCAGGCTGTAATTGGGCATATGGCTTTCTCCTGTCCCCCCCACCCCAACCCTCCAAGCTCGGCATCCAATTGAGCCTTCCCTTGCTGTATTTTGGTTCCCCTCCAACCAGCTCCCCAGATAACAGCGAAGCCCTTGCACATTTTCCACCTGGCTTGAGCACACAAAGCTCCCTTGTTGTGCAGGAGTGAGGGGAAACCCCAGGCCCCTGGGGAGGGGCAAATGTGGCCCCTCTAAGCCTCTCTGCCTGGTCCTAAGGACTCTCCTCAAGCCACAATCCTTCACGCAACCACCTCCTTGAGCACTTCTACCTAGCTGGAATGTGTCCTTCAACTCTGATAATGTCTCTTGCAAGAGAGAGTATGTGAAGAACCAAGACTACTGTACAGAATAAATTTGTATAAATTGCTCCACCCACTTTTGCCTCTGGCCCCGCCCACCCCTGACATTGTGGCCCCCTCCCCCACAAAGGTTCTGCAGAAAAGAATGTGGTGCTCAAGCTGAAAAATGGTTCCCCACCCTGGTTATAGGGGCGGAAAACCTTTGACCTGTGAGCTAAATTTGACCTGGCCTAGATCCCAATTTGGTCTGCAAGTGTGGTTTCCCCAAATCACACCCACCTGATGCAGCCTTCCACAGCCCATTATAGAGAACCAGATTATTTGGTCTAGCCAACTATTGTCTATACAGACAGGTAACAATTGTCCAGGGTCTGAGAAAGGAAGCCTACCTGGAGATACCACCACAGGGATTGATCCTGGGATCTTCTGTGAGCATAAATCACACCAGAGTTGTAGGGGCGGGGGGAGCCACACATCAACAAGTTGCTCACCCCCTGCCCCCCAGACCCCAAATATTTTCGTCATTCATGAATACAGTGGTACCTCGGGTTAAGAACTTAATTTGTTCTGGAGGTCCGTTCTTAACCTGAAACTGTTCTTAACCTGAGGTACCACTTTAGCTAATGGGGCCTCCCGCTGCCGCCGCGCGATTTCTGTTCTTATCCTGAAGCAAAGTTCTTAACCTGAGGTACTATTTCTGGGTTAGCGGAGTCTGTAACCTGAAGCATCTGTAACCCGAGGTACCACTGTATTAAGATCTCTCTACCTAAAGCGTTGACCCTTCTGTACCTTTTCCCACCAAAATAAGTCAAAGCATGCATCTCACCCCCGAATTACGGTGTCTCCCCACCTACCCTGTCACCATGCCAGATCTCCAGATCTGGCCGAGGAAACCTCCAGGCTTCCTCAACCTTGGTCCTTCAGATGTTTTTGGCCTACAACTCCCATGATCCCTAGCTAGCAGGACCAGTGGTCAGGGATGATAGGAACTGTAGTCTCAAAACATCTGGAGGGCCGAGGTTGAGGAAGCCTGCTCTAGTTCTTTTCTGAACAATTTCAGCCCAGAATTAAGTTTGCCAGGTACTCAGGGTGGCCGCAAGTCCTATTTGAAGGTACAGTTGAGTCGCATCCGATGTGCATTTCACATGCACAATTTCAACCACACATGCTCGGCTGCAGCTTCATTCCAGCCTTTTTCTTCTGCCTGCATCTCTCGCTCTCTGCTCCTCCCTTCTACCTTCATCTGTCTCTGCTGACGTCCCTCTTCCTGCTCTCTGCCAGGAGGGGAGGCAGCAGAGACATTGGGGAGGCCTCCCCACAAGGCCTCCTCCCCTTGCCAGCCAGCCATGGGAAAAGTAATTTTGGCTATGCGCGATTTTCGCATGTGCACACCAGCCTTGGAACCAAATCCCCGTGTATCCTGCAATACAACTGTATCTTTAACATCAGTGGTAGTTTAGTCGAAGTACAAACTAAAGAACCCCCCAGAAGGCTGGCCCACCCAAAGCTGCATACTCACCTGATACTCACGTCTTCCCTTAAAGCTTTCCCTAAATTATGACAATTTATTTCCAGACTTGCATCTCTTACAGGGATGGCAAGCCTGTAGCCCTCCAGATGCTGTTGAACTACAGTTTCCACCATCCCTGACCACTGGCTATGCTAGCTGAGGCTGATGGGAGTTGGAGTCTAGCAATATCTGGATGGCTGCAGGTTCCTCGCCACAAACTCTGGATTGTACCCAATGCTAGTCCTACTCGGAGTTAGACCTATCAAAGTTAATCGGCGAGCCTAGTATACCTGAAGGAGTGTCTCCACCCGCATCGTTCAGCCCGGACGCTGAGGTCCAGCTTCGAGGGCCTTCTGGTGGTTCCCTCACTGCGAGAAGTGAGGTTACAGGGAACCAGGCAGAGGGCCTTCTTGGTAGTGGCGCCCGCCCTGTGGAACGCCCTCCCATCAGCTGTCAAGGGAATAAACAACTATCTGACTTTTAGAAGACATCTGAAGGCAGCCCCGTTTAGGGACGTTTTTAATGTGTGATGTTTTATCGTGTTTTTAATATTCTGTTGGGAGCTGCCCAGAGTGGCTGGGGAAACCCAGCCAGGTGGGCGGGGTATAAATATATTATTATTATTAGTAGTAGTAGTAGTAGTAGTAGTAGTAGCAGGTTCACTTGTTTCTATGGGTCTTCTCTAAGTATAACTTAGTGTGGGATGCAAGTTTTATGCAAATATGTGTACTCTTTTGGGGAGGAGCTACAAGTAGAAGCACCATTTGCAACCCATACCTTTGCCAGATGTTTGGCTATTCCTCTTCCTCTGTAGGCATCTGGTACTTCCGTGTGTTGCAGGTCCACTATCCTTTTCCCCACGTACTCGTACAACAGGACCGCTTTGTCATGACAACCTGCAGGAGAAAAGATGGCATCCACACACTTAAAAGAAATATGGAACAAAACCAAGAACCAAAATCTCCTGGACTTTTTGTTGTTGTTGTTATTAGTTTAAATTTATATCCCGCCCTTCCTCCCAAAGGAGCCCGGGGTGCTAAAGAACAATGGATAAAACAACAGTAGAAATAGATTTTAAAGAACTTTACAACAATTCCAACACAGGTGCAGGCTGGGAAATATCTCAACTTCAACGCCTTGTTGCAAGAAGAAGGTCTTTGGTAGGCCCCAAAAGAACAACAGAGGTAGTGCCTGTCTAATATTCCAAAAGGGCAAGTGCCACCACAATACAATACGAAACAATAATCTTAATTGTCATTGTCCCATACAGAACAACGAAATTGAAAATCTACATCAGACATTCAGAAACCAACAAGTCTGCTATCCCAGCTATCCCAACCTGGTTAGACCCCTAAAAACTCTGATACCCCATAATTAAATACAATATACTCACATAGAGACTACCTTACACTGCGTTTAAAACCAAAATCGCATTTGGGTAGAAACTGTTTCTCAGGCAGCTAGTCCTAGTCTTTATTACCCTGTACCTTCTTCCAGAAGGCAGAAGCTGAAAGAGATCATTTCCGGGGTGCGCACCATCTCTGCGGCTTTCTTATGACACCTGGAAGCATAGATTTGATCCAAGGTAGGGAGAGTGCATCCAGTTATTCTCTCCGCAGTCTTTACAACCCTGGACAGCATTGTTTTTCCCCTGACCGTGCAGCTCCCAAATCACATTCAAAGACCATAAGTTAATACACTCTCAACTAAACACTAAAGGCTCTATTCCTACATTGTATGGGATGGGCCTCCACAGGATGCCTATATAGCTCAGTTGGTTAGAGCGTGGTGATGATAATGCAAAGGTTGCAGGTTCGATCCCTGTATGGAACAGCCGCGTATTCCTGCCTTGCAGGGGGTTGGAGGTCAGAGCTTTCCAAACTGTGTGTCGCGACACATTAGTGTGTTCGGCTGCAGCGTGTAGATGTGTCACGCAAACGCTCCCGGGGCTGGAAAGGGGTCCGTTTAGCCTCCGGTTTGCTAGTGAAATTTAATTACTGTGTCGTGAAATGATGCATGTCTAAAAAGTGTGTCACCAACAGGAAAAGTTGGGAAAGCTCTGGACTAAGATGACCCTCAGGGTCCTTTCCAACTCCACAATTCTACGATTGCATCTTCTGTCTTCTTCCATTATCTTAGGGTCAGTTTTATAGAGTACTATACAGCACTTCAGTACATTCGTATTACATTACTACCACTATATTTTCTCAATAATTCTCTAAGGCAGGAGAATTGTATTACCCATTAGCAAAGAATCAGGCTTCATAATGGACAGAGGATAGGCTGCAGGCGGGGGGAGCTTGCGTATTTTAACAGTCCCTGGGGAGTGTGCTGATTAGTATTTGTGGAAAACAAGGATGGGGAACCCATACCTCTCCAGTTGTTGTTCAACTACAGCTCCCATCAGCACTAACTATTGGCCAAGCTGGCAAGGAGTGATGAGGGCTGAACATCTGGAGAGAGGGAGAAGGAGTGCAGTGTTCTGGTCCGAGTGTTGGACTGTTATAGTTAGCCCCTGTTTTGAGGGACAATGGAGTGCAGGGCCAGGACCCCAGGCACACAATTTCGAGGGGCGCAAACCAGGCATCCCCACAAAGGGATCCCTGTTTTGCCCTGCCTGCCGCCAGGGGTCTCTGGGCCCGGAGCTTGGCCTGGCCCCATTTGCAGCATCCCTGGCCCCTTCACTAAATGGCTGCCCAGCTAGCGCTCGCTCACTCCTCACTCAGACGGTGAGCGGGCACAGACGGAGGCGGGCAAGGGGTGACCCCAGCGTAGCCTGGTCTGGCATTCCTCTCCATGGGAAGACTCACCCACCAAGGGCCATGTCGGCCAGCCAGGCTCCCCCCTATGTGGATGGACAGGCGGCATAGCACAGACCTGCTTGGCTCTGGGGACGAGGACTGGACCAGCGCAACAGGGTCCATTCACCCTCCGGGGCTGCGCACACCCCGGGCACCAGCAAACGCCGCTACGCCACTGAGGTTAGCAGCACTTCTCTGGGGCGCAAGACTGGGTAGTGTGCATGGTAAAGTCCTGGGCTGCCCAGAGAAGGAGACCCCCCCCCCAGCCTCGCTGGATTGATTTTGCTGTCTCTCTTCTTCTGCTAAAAACTTTCTCCGCAATCCACCTGCTTAGTTGTTAAGTACACGAGTGACGAAGGCATTTTTCACTTCCTGCATTAGCCACCATGTGTAGCTTAAGCTCTTGAGCCGGAAAGGCAAGGCAGATTTCCTTTAAAAAATATATTAAAAAAAAAAAAAGAAGGCCAACATCAAGGCAATTTATAAGCATGTTTGAACAAAGCTGCTTTCTGTCTTAACTGGGACAGGCTCCCACAAGTAGGTCTGCTGTCTCAAGTGGGTAGGGTGCTTTCGCACTCGGGTCTTACCGCACACTTCACATAGGCAACTGGTTGGCCACTGCGAAAACGGTGTGCTCTTCTAACACTATTGTAGAAAAAGACAACAGACTTCTGAGATTCCTGCATTGCAAGGAGTTGGGCTATATGACCCTTCCAACTCTACTATTATTCTACATCCTAAGCCTGCAGATAGGAAGCCACTGAGTCAGGCCATTCACTTATCCAGCTCAGTAATGGCCAGACCAGGTGCAGGGAACATCTGGCCCTCTAGGTTTTGCTAAACTACAAGTCCCATCATCCCTGGCCATGCTTGGCGAGGCAACATCTGGAGGGCCAAAAGGTTCCACTCACTTGGTCTAAATTGAGCAGCTGTGGCTCTGTAAGAGCTACAATTCTCAGAGCTCCTTGGGAAGAGAAGAACAACAACAACAACAACAGGAGTTTGGATTTGATATCCCGCTTTATCACTACCCGAAGGAGTCTCAAAGCTGCTAACATTCTCCTTTCCCTTCCTCCCCCACAACAAACACTCTGTGAGGTGAGTGGGGCTGAGAGACTTCAGAGAAGTGTAACTGGCCCAAGGTCACCCAGCAGCTGCATGTGGAGGAGCGGAGACGCGAACCCGGTTCACCAGATTACGAGTCCACTGCTCTTAAAAGTGGTAGGACGCAGTTTCAGATTTATAGCGCGGATGGGGCCGAGTTTTCTTTCAGCTGGCGCAAAAGACCGCAGAGATTGTGCGGTTTAAATTTCACGCACAGGACGCATGAGGCAGGGTAAAGGACTGACTAAACTCCAATTAAAAAGGAAAGAAAGGTTTGCATTGACTCATAATCTTGTAGGCATGGGAGCATGTCAGGCCAGAGGGGAGGGGTTGCAGGGCTCTGTGCGCAGACTGCATGCGCTCCCGCATAGAGCTGTCAATCATCCCAGGCAGAATAAAAAGCCCCCAATTCATACATGCGCTGAATAGCACCCAGGCACAGCTTTGAGTCTTGGGAAGATGCTGGGCAGCAGGGGGGGTCCTTGGGAGGTGGAAGAGGCTGGTACAACCCCAAACAAGGGATGACGGAAGTCAGCTAGGCCTTTTCCAGCCTCAACAGGCCAAGTGTGTCAGACACACAATTCAGCTCAGTCCCGCCAGGCTGAAACCACTGCAATGGCGAAGGAGCTGCCACACGGGGAAGTTTCTTTGGGGACATGGCATTTCCAAATATCGCTTCTGTGGGTTAGCTAAGCTTTGCTGTGCTTTAGGAATCTGCGCTCATGGCGACTCAATATGGAAGAGGCAAGAGATGGAGCTCAGGGCCAAAGCGTCTGCTTTGCACGCACAAGGTCGCAGGTTCAATCCCCAGCGTCTCGGTAGGTAGGGCTGGGGAAGTCTCCCTGTTTGAAATCCTGCAGAGCCATTGCCAGGCAGCGCAGACCAATGGTCTGACCAGTGCTTTTCCCCAAGAAAAATACAGTCATACCTCGGGTTAAATGTGCTTCAGGTTGAGCGTTTTCAAGTTACGCTCCGCGGTGACCCGGAAGTAACGGAGCGCGTTACTTCTGGGTTTCGCAGCTTGCACACGCGCAGACGCTCAAAATGACATCATGCGCATGCGCGGAAGCGGCGAATTACGACCCACGCAGTCACGGGTTGCGTTCTACTCAGGATGCAAACGGAGCTCTGGAACGGATCCCATTCGCATCCAGAGGTACCACTGTAAGTTTCAGAGAACTCACCATGAAGTTGTTACAGAAAGTCGCCGGGTGACTCGGGGCAGGCCTGAACAGATGCTGGCTTGGCAACAGCAGAATTTGCCACCTGTGGAGGTGCTAAAAACTACAGCAAGCTGGCTGGGGGAGAGGGTTGCCCCTAGTTCTGGTGCAGGGCAAATAAATGCTCCCCCACCTCCTTCGTTCTTAGAATCAGGCAGATGGCTAGGGCAGCTTGGAAGGGCCCTTGTGCAAATGCCTGCGCATGATAAGCAAAATGTAGGAGCCTCTCCGCTGGTCTGGCCCAGCCAGTCTTGTCACCCCCTAGTCAGGGTCCGAAATAACTAGTATGGACGGGAAACATGGAGGTAAGAGTTCAATTGCATGTGATTGTGCACAAAGGAACACGCAAAAATTAAATGTACATGGGGAAAGTTGGATCTGTGCAACCCACGGGTGCACTAACACTCTGGTGTGTACATACCACCCCTTCCTGTCTCTCACACTTTTTAAACAGGCAAAGGAGGTAATGCAGATAAGGAGACTAAGGAGACTCCTTCTTGGCCTTCGGACTAGGCAACAGGAAACGGCTATGAATGCTGTTTGAACAAGCGCCCACAGAAAGAGAAAGAGAAAGAAAGAGAGAGAGACAGAGAGGCCAGGCAGGTTGCAGAATTAAAAGGAACAGTTTGTTCCGAGAGCGCCGCTGCTTTCTTGTGATTCAGGACAAAACTCTTGTTTAGAAGGGGGTTGTTTTCCCTCAAACTCGAGCAACTGGCATGTTACGAGAGAGAGAGAGAGAGAGAGAGAGAGAGAGAGAGAGAGAGAGAGAGAGAGAGTGTCAAGCAGACCACGGAGAGAGGGCTTAAGCCACAGGAGTGCCAGAGAACTTGCTTGGCAAACAGGCCAGCTCATGTTTGACAATGCAAAGCTTCTTCCTCTTTGGGATTCACCTTCAATTCAAATCAGAGAAGGCAAACTGGGCAGGGCAATTTAAAACAGCAACAACAATTATTGCACGTAAGTGAGAAAAGTTACTGGGAAGGCTTTTGTTTTCGGTGCCAAGAATTAAATGCGTTCAGATCTTCTGGGGAAGTTTGGAAGAGGCCACAATGACAAAGCAAACGCAAAGAATCATGGGGGAGAAACGTTGCAGGATTCCTGTTAAAATCTGCAAGCCCTATCAATCACTTTCCTTAATTTTAGACATATTTCACATACACCCAATAGCCTTCTAAAACACACTCACGAAGGAGACCAGCAAAAAAGGTAAATGGAGCACGTCCTCTCCAGCCCCCCTGAAATACAAGCAGCATGTTATCCATACCCTTCAACATTTGTCTGATGAAAATAGGGACATCCTATTCAATAATAATAATAATAATAATAATTTATTTATACCCTGCACCCATCTGACTGGGTTGCCCCAGCCACTCTGGGCAGCTTCCAACATATATAAAAACACAATAAAACATTAAACATCAAGAAACTTCCCTATACAGGGCCGTCTTCAGATGTCTTCTATAGGTTGTATAGTTACTTTTCTCCTTGGCTTGGGGGGGGGGACGATGGTCACATAGCTCCATACCCCACAACACTTGTCCAACGAAAATAGGGACATCCTTAGGAAAAGCGGGACATTCTAGGATCACAACAGAAACCGGGACGACTTCTGTAAATCTGGGACTGTCCCTGGAAAATAGGGACAGTTGGAGGGTCTGCAATAGCACTTTAAATGGCCATTGCTTCCCCCTGAAGAATTCTGGGAGGTGTAGTTTGTTAAGGGTGCTGAGAGTCGTTAGCCAACCCCTGTTCCCTTCAAGGAGCTACAACTCCCAGAGCTTCCTGTGAAGAGGGATTGATAGTTAAACAACTCTAGGAATTGTAGCTCCGGAAGGGAATGAGGTCTCTTAGATACTTCTCCCATCATGTGGAGCGCAGTTAGCTCAGTTGGTTAGAGCACAGTGCTGATAACACCACGGTTGTGGGTTCAATCCCCATCCGGGCCACCTGCATATTCCTGCAAGGGGTTGGACAACTCTATGATCTCCTGCCACAGACATGCTTGCTGGGGCTGATGGGAAGTGTAGTTTGGCAACATCTGGAGGGCCAGAGGTTGCCCATACCTGATGCATGGAGCAAATGGAAAGAGCCGTGAAGCATTATCATCATCACTATTATTTCTTAAATTTGTATACCGCCTTCCCTCTGAAGATCACAGGGCGGTTCATAACATAAAAATACAAAATGAGAACACAAAATATACATAATCAAACAATAACAAACACATTTAAAAGACCACAGAATGTTAATCAACGAAAGGCCTGGTTATAGATACATGTTTTCGCCTGGTGGCTGAAGATATGTAATGAAGGCACGGGGTGAGCCTGCCTGAGGAGAGCATTCCACAAACAGGGAACCACCACAAAAAAGGCCTGTTCTTGTGTTGTTGGCTTCCGCGCCTCTCACGGAGGAGGCCCACAAAAAAGGGCCTCAGATGATCAAGTAGTGGAGTGGACCGACTGCAGGTTGGGGTGATGTGAACACTCTCGCCCCCCACCCTGTAAATAAAAAGAAGCAGAAGCTCCGCAAGTAAAAAAGAAATGGCTCATCACGGGGAAAGGTTTTGTTTTGTTTGTTACCCAGTTGCAGGGAGAGCTGTTTTTTTAAAAAGGTAGGTGAGCATCAAAAGTGTAATTAACACACACACACACATACACACACACACACACAAGCTCACTTGACATAGTCCACCCCATTCTATCTTCTCAGAACTCCCACCAACTGATTCTGCTGCTGGTGCAGGCAAAGTCTCACATAGATAAGGCGGTAGATCTGACTCTGGATGGAAGGAGGAAACTCTCACAATGGCATATATCCCCAGAAAAATGTTTCCTAAAACTACAAAGCTTGCGTATCAGGAAAAAGGCTAAGCTAGAGAGATTCCCTGCGACGGGGTGAGCTCCCGTTGCTCGGTCCCTGCTGCTGCCAACCTAGCAGTTCGAAAGCACATTAAAGTGCAAGTAGATAAATAGGTACCGCTCCGGCGGGAAGGTAAACGGCGTTTCCGTGCGCTGCTCTGTTTCGCCAGAAGCGGCTTAGTCATGCTGGCCACATGACCCGGAAGCTGTACGCCGGCTTCCTCAGCCAATAAAGCGAGATGAGTGCCGCAACCCCAGAGTCAGCCACGACTGGACCTAATGGTCAGGGGTCCCTTTACCTTTACTTTAGAGAGATTCCTACCTTCTCCCCACAAACTACTGTTCAGCTGTGTTGTGGACTGGGAGTGCAGCTCCAAGACTTTTTTTTTCAGGACAGGAGCAATTATGACCACTTGTAGCGCTGTGGCAAGGGAAGGCGGTGATAATGAGGCTTTCAAGTTTGTGATGGGTTAGCACAGAGCAGCCTTCCCAACTATTGTTGGCTGGGGGTACCAAGCTGGGGAAGGCGGGCAATGGAGAAAGTCAGAGAATGAAAGTCCCACTTCATACCAGTTGTTTAAAGCCTAGCACTTCTTTCCAAGATCATTTGCATTTCCAAGTAAACACTGAAGGTTGCATTTTGGCTGGTGAAGATCATTTGGTAAAGCTTAGCGTGCTTACAAGCTGAACCTCTGCAGTCACCACTTTACTTTACTCTTATGCATGTGTTATTGCAGTCGTGCTGATCCCTACAGTTCCCAGGTTACAATGGGGATAAATAGTGGCTTTGTTTGGATGCAGTGCTAAACCGTGGACGATCTGCAGTGAGCTCTGGGTTTGCTTGTCTTTCCTCCCTCTTCTCTTCTGATGTAACTGCAAGGAGGCGACCTTAAGCTTCCACTTCCATTTCAGATTAAGTGCAGTTTAGTGTGTCGTACAAACCCTGAACGGTAGATTGTTGAAAGAAGGCGTTTTAAGCCATAGTTTGTGAAAGTGGCTTGTTTCAACTAGCTACAGTCAAGATTAATCAAGTTTAGGGATCAATGGCATACTAAACTGCAGTAAATCTAAAGTGGAAATGAAAAGTTTCTGATCATTTCCTTGTAGCTGTGCCAGAGGAGATGTAGGCAAGCCAAGGTTTAGCGTTACATCTGATCATTAGAGCAAGTCTAGGGTGCAGATGGGATGCAGGTGGCGCTGTGGGTTAAACCGCAGAGCCTAGGACTTGCCTATCAGAAGATTGGCGGTTCGAATCCCCGCGACGGGGTGAGCTCCCATTGCTCGGTCCCTGCTCCTGCCAACCTAGCAGTTCGAAAGCACATCAAAGTGCAAGTAGATAAATTGGTACCACTCTGGTGGGAAGGTAAACGGTGTTTCCGTGCGCTGCTCTGGTTCGCCAGAAGCGGCTTAGTCATGCTGGCCACATGACCCGGAAGCTGTACGCCGGCTCCCTCGGCCAATAAAGCAAGATGAGCGCTGCAACCCCAGAGTCGGTCACGACTGGACCTAATGGTCAGGGGTCCCTTTACCTTTACCTTAGGGTTCAGATGTCTGCCCTCACTGCAAGGCCAGTAAACTGATTTTATAGCTAGGTAGCACCCTTTGTACCCTGTTCCAGTTACTCTTCCAGACTAGCCTACTTCACAGGGCTGTACCACTACTTTGAGCTCTTGGGAGGAAAGGAAATATAATTATTTTAAAAGGTGACAAGAGTCCAACAATAGAACATACCATTCCCTAAAAGGAACCACTTGTTCAATGAAACCCTGAATATTTAAAATGCTCCATGATCCCCTGTATAGCCCTTCTGGGGGTGCAGCTGTTCCTTTGGCCATCATGTGGCAGAGAGTTCCACATTTCATTCAGGTGCTTGGTGGAGAATGTTATTGAAACCAGCTGCAAGCTTATTCAACAGTGTTCCCTATACACCCTGCCTTCATTGTAAAGAGTGAACACTAACATCTGTTCCTCGCTCATTTTTTTCCCAAACTCTCCACCCTTGTATAACTATTTCCCTATCATGTTCTGCACACCCTTACGAGATCTTTGTTCGGAGCTAAAGAAAATTAAAACCTACTGCAACAATACCTTTTCACTCACACAACTTTTTAAAAAAACAACAAGAGCAACTGAAGTGATTTACGGCTCGGCAGATTTCCTACGGGAATCCATCAGTATGAAACTATTTTAACCATGTGCTATTTAAAGAGACTGTTTGGCTTCACTGTTTTCTTTGCAGCCCTTCAGTTGTCCCAGCAATATTCATTTGATGGTTTACTTTCACCCATTGTTAGGCCTGAAAAAACAGCATGTGGTGGTACTTAGCGAAAAACAAAATCTCTGTGTTACTATTCTTAGTAGCTTATGAACAATGTCTTCTATTGGGTATATCATTTTTGAAATTGTTTACCCGTTTTAATATAACCTGCAATTTGACTAGGAGCAAGCGCTTAAGATTCTTTTTTCCTTAACCCGAAAATGGTGGGTGTTAGCTTAAAAATAAAAGCAGAAGAGGAAAAATGGAACATATCTTGATATATTTAGAAAAGACAAGCATTTTCATTGAGAGAAAGTTATCCATGCAATGCAGTATATATCCCAGCTGAGGCTAATGGAAATAGCCACCTGCCTGGTCGCCTGCAGCGAGCAAGAATCTGTTGCAGGAGATTCTCCTATACAAACAGGAGAAGAGATTTTCCGTGTTCCTTTCAGGTCATTTGTGGGTCATAAACGACTAACAGAGGCACATCTCTGACTGGGCACAGAACCATCTTGAAACCAAATGGTACTCTGAGGAGTTACTTCATCATTTTCGACTCCCCACCCCTTAATATTTAATGAACTTATTTTTTTGCATTGCTCACACAACCCGTCTGCTGAATGGGCAATGGTGTTGTACCTTTCCGCGCAACTTTTAAAAATAGCATTGATAATATCTAACACCAGCATATTGCTGAAGATGCAAGTCAATGCAACAGGCTTTGGGAGCAAATATGTGTTCCGTTATGTTGTTGATCCGTTAATTGGGTAGACAGGAGCCTACATAACAGCCCTGCAGGATCAGGCCAAAGGCATTTCTAATCTGGTGTCCTGTTCATACAGACGCCCATAACAAGCCTGAATGCAACAACAATTCTCATGAAAACAAGGGAAACTGCTTTCTGCGGAGTCAGAATATTGGCTCATTTAAGCCCGGTGTTTTTTGTTCTGACTGGAAGCTTCTTTCCAAGGTTTATGGCAGGGGTCTCTCCCAGCCCAAGTCTGGTACCCTTGCCTTTCTCATTGCCTACCCCTTAATCCAAGGTCTCCAGATGGTTTTGGACTACAATTCCCATCATCCCTCACTGCTGGTCCTGCTAGCTAGGGTTGATGGGAGTTGTAGTCCAAAAACAGCTGGGGACCTAAGTTTAGGGAACCCTGCGTAATCTATCCCTTCAGTGGTCAAGCAGGAAAGCTACGAAGCATGCTTAAGCCATTTGAGAATTCCAGCATGGACCTTGCAAAAAATAATGTTAAAAGGGTCTCTCTCTCTCTCGCGCGCGCTCTCTCTCTCTCTCTCACTCACACACACACACACACACACACACACACACACGCTTCATTCTTTTCACATGGCTTGCCCTTAGTAATATTGCAGTCATGGACCAGGGCAGTGCTTTTTTTCAGCTGGAGCACAGTTCCAGCACCTCTCAGGTGGGCGCCACTAACAAACTACAGTTTCCAGGACTCTTTGAGGGAAGTCATGTGCTGTACACGAATGGTTTGTGAGCAGCCCCAGACTCGGGAAGGGTTAGTGTTAGTGTTACCATTTGCCGCTTTGCTTCAGGCGGCAACATGCCTTGAACTAGCCCTGGGCCTCAGCCGTGATGCTAGGAAACAAGGGAAGGCCCTCTGCATATGGTCATGGGTGGTGCTTTTTTTACGACATGTGTTTTAGGACGCTCAAGCCACACCGCAGAAAACAGGACTGCAGCAGTAGCCAATCTCTGACAACCACAGCAAATTACTCGAAAGCAACTCGCTTTGGAAAGTATGCAGGGTTATAAGTTACGCATAGGATCAGGCCCCACATGATGGTAAGACGCAGCTTAAAATCTAAGTACTGTTCCCTGCAGCAAAAATAAGTAGGGAACCGGATTTATACAAGTAATATTGCCCATCACATGATTTACTCAAAATTAGCAGATTGAGAGAAAAGGGAGGGGGGAGAAGGCGGCAGCAACCAAACTAAAAATTAAGCAAGTTTGTACCACCGAGCGGGGCGGAAGGGGGAGGGCGTGGGGGCTTCTGGTATCAACCTCCACAGCTTATTTAAAAATAGATCCTGCGAGGACAGGTGTTCCCCTACGAACCAGAGAGTAACCAAGACAGCAGTAGCAGCAGCAGCTTACGGGGAGCAAAAGAGCGCAGCTCACACAGGGGAAGAAGGGAGGCGGGGGGGTGGAGGCAGAGAGAGAAAGAGAAGAGAAAGCAGGAATAAAATTTCTGGGTCGCCCCTTCTCCCCCACCTCCTTCTCCTTCCCACAATCTCCCTGTATCCAGTTGCTAAGAGGTTGACACCATAACTAATCTGTTGCATAACCAGCCTCACACTGCAGCAATAGTTTTTTTTTAAAAAAATAAAAAGATAAGGGGGGGTAAAGGAAAGAGAGAGAAACTAATATATAAAAATTAAGCCTCGCAGGAACAAAAACCACAGAGATTTGCTTTGAATTCTCCAAGGGAACAACACCAGCGTTGCGGGGAAGGCTTTTTAGTTTTTTTGCAAGCGCATCCATCGCCTCCCTACATTCCAAACAAAAGATTGCGCGGGGGTGGGGGGGTATATTTTTGGGGGGGTGGGGGGGACACACACACAGCAAATCCGATAGGGCCAAATAAAAGGAGGGAGGCGAGCCATGCACGAGCCAACCTCCAACCCCCAAAGCTCCCCTTGTCTGCCCCTTCTTCTTCCGCCACCTCCACCTGGTCTCGCCTTTACCGTTCAGCCTGACGGTGAACTGCCTCCTCTTGCGGTCGTGCTCCACCTGGATCGGGCAGCCGGGCTCCAGGATGTTGAGCTGCCCTGCCTGGGCCATGGTGGCGCGGGCACAGCAGGCCGACCCGGGCGCGGGCTGGCTGCTTGGCTGGCTGGCTGGCTGCCTCCTCCCTCCGGCGCCCCGCTTCGGCGTGCTCTTCGTGGGCTCGGTTCTTTTGTGAGCGCGCGGGGGGCGCCTGGCGAAAGGGCCGCCCCTGCTGCTGCTGCTGCTTCTCCCTTGCCTTCTCTGCCCCCCTCCCTCCCCGCGCGCTCCTGCCAAACCAGCCAGATGTGTCCAAAAGAAAGAAAGAAAGGAAAAGGGGAAATGTTCGGCGGGGAGCAATTAATAGTTAGGCAGGATCTGCTGCTGCTGCTGCTGCTGCTGCTGCCGCCCCCTCCACCTCTTGTTCTTGTTCTGCGTCTTCCTCCCCCTTCACCGCCTCCCCCCCCCCGCAGCCAACTTCAGCGGAGAAAGAGTGCAGGGCAGTGACCAGGGAGAGACATCATAATCTCCTGCTGAAACTGACACACAGCAGCAGCAGCAGCAACAAAAAAAAAACCACACAAAAAAAGCCAGGAAATCAGCTGTGGACTCACGTGCCAGCTGGCCGTCCAATGGGTGCTCGGCCTTTTTTGTTTTGATACATTCCGTTCGACTCTTAAAGGGACCGCGGACCCTTGTTCAGCGGGGCGCGCGCACCCCCCCCCTCCAGATCCTCTCTGTGGTTGTCTCGTGTTTGTGTGTTTATGTTTAAAGGGGATGAGTTCTTCCTGTCTGCAACTACAGTGGTACCTTGGTTCTCTGTTCCGGAAGTCCGTTCCAAAACCAAAGTGTTCCCAAACCAAGGCGTGCTTTCCCATAGAAAGTAATGCAAAATGGATTAATCCGTTCCAGACTTTTAAAAACAACCCCTAAAACAACATTTGAAGATGAATTTTACTATCTAATGAGACCATTGATCCATAAAATGAAAGCAATAAATGTGCTGCAGTCACACAATCAATCGGTAGCTGAACTGGGTTCCACACAGTCACAAAAACAAAACAAAAAGAGCCGCGTAAACAGAAACGCAAAATACAGTGGTACCTCGGGTTAAGAACTTAATTTGTTCTGGAGGTCTGTTCTTAACCTGAAATTGTTCTTAACCTGAGTTACCACTTCAGCTAATGGGGCTTCCAGCTGCCACCATGCAATTTCTGTTCTCATCCTGAAGCAAAGCTCTTAACCTGAGGTACTATTTCTGGGTTAGCCGAGTCTGTAACCTGAAGCGTCTGTAACCCGAGGTACCACTGTAAATAGCAAAAAATAGACAGACCTTAGTGTAACACTCAAATCAGAAGCGTAACACTCAAAACAGAGCACGTTTGGCTTCCAAAAGTTCGCAAACTGGAACACTTACTTCCGGGTTTGCAGTGGTTGGGTTCCAAGTTGTTTGAGTACCAAGGCATTTGAGAAACAAGGTACCACTGTATAGGTTACCTTAAAAGAAGGAGAAGAATCCCTAACTCACCCTTTCCAACTTGGGCTGCCTAATATCTTCTTTGTGCTTCCATAGGGGTTGTGTTGGTCCTGTAAGTTAAATAATTATGCAGTTGGAAGGAATTCCCCCCAAGGGCTATCTTCCTGCAAGGCAGGAACCACTGGTAAAGAACCCCTGGCAGGGAGGTGGCCCAGCCTCTGTTTGAAAACTTCTAAGGAAGGAGAACCCACTGCCTTAGGTGGAGCCTGTTCCACTGATAGCCCTGTTCTCCAGCAATTTGCCTAATCCTATTTTATATGTTTGTAGATCACAGAAGAAAGCATTTGGCTTAATTATATTTAGGTTGATCTGGGTTTTCTCTCCCTAAGCAAGCGTTTAAAAGTCATGTCAAGTTTTAAGCTGTTCATATTCATACTATAAGGGATGCGGGTGGTGCTGTGGGTAAAACCACAGTGCCTAGGACTTGCCAATTGTATGGTCGGCGGTTCGAATCCCCGTGGTGGGGTGAGCTCCCGGTCCCAGCTCCTGCCCACCTAGCAGTTCGAAAGCACCCTTAAGTGCAAGTAGATAAATAGGTACCGCTTTATAGCGGGAAGGTCAACGGCGTTTCCATGTGCTGCGCTGGTGCTGGCTCGCCAGAGCAGCTTCGTCACGCTGGCCACGTGACCCGGAAGTGTCTTCAGACAGCGCTGGCCCCCGGCCTCTAGAGTGAGATGAGCGCACAACCCTAGAGTCTGACAAGACTGGCCCGTACGGGCAGGGGTACCTTTACCTTTTATACATACTATAAAGTTGCCTTCTATAACCAGCTTATACTGTGGAATATACCTTGTGGAATTTTGTTATTCAGATCTCAGTTGGATTGTGTTTCTTTCTGTTGGGTTGGGTGGGGGCAACATTCCATTTTTGTTGGGTTCAGATAACAATAGGAACCGGACCACAGCGCAATCTCGACAAACTTGGTGCCTGCTGTATCTTTTGGACTACAACTCCCATCAAACCCTCAGGAAACATGGCTGGCACCAATTTAGGGAAGGCTGCCATTAGAGAGATTAAATTTCAGTGCTTAGGGCATTTATGGAACTGGCACGAAACTTCCTCTGAATTTGCCCCATTGTGTGGATTCCGCCTAGGATTAAATGAATGGCATGAGTCATAATAGCTAACTGGGAAACGGAGGAAACTATCCTGACTGAATTTATTCACTTCTCACTTTTTAATTAAGCCTCTTATTTGCAATATCCCCCTTTGAAGTTAAATATAAATGTATTTTTCTTTTTTTAAGAGAGTGGGCTAAAATCCTTCTCACAGTTATATTTGAGTTTAAAGTCTGGGAACTGGCTGGTGTGCCCAAACTTGGCTGTGCACACTATACCTTTAAATCACATGCAAAGCACATTCTTTCCCTCAAAGAATTCTGGGATCTGTAGTTTACCCATCATAGAGCTACAACTCCCATCAACCTAACTTAACAAACCACGGTTCCCAGAATCCTTTGAGGGGAAGAAACATGCCTTGAATGTGCTTTAAATACATAGTGTGTACACAACACAGGAATTCCCCGTGCATCTGCTTCGAAATCATTCCAGTTTTCTGCAGCTGCAGGACAGTCTGCCTCGCATCTGATGTTGCATATGGGACAGCCAGGTGTGTTTTCAGAAAACAGCCTCTTAGGTTAACTGGAGAGAGCAGGTAGGCCAGGTTCAGCTTGTAGAGCCAAAAAAATATTCCCCACCCCAGGCCAACCTAGTTCTCAGCTGCCTACAAGATGGGAATGCAGATAGGAAGCCCACAAACAGGATCTGAGTGTGACAATGCTTTCCCCGCTTGTGATTCCCATTAAGTGGTACACAAATTAACAAAGGTATTTTTAATGCAAATTGGTGTTGTCTCTTGTCTTCTTCTTGGGTGATGCATGAGCGGCCATCCTATGAGCGGTTTGTCTCCCCCTCTCTTTGTTTTTAGATAGTACAGTGGTACCTCGGGTTAAGTACTTAATTTGTTACGGAGGTCCGTACTTAACCTGAAACTGTTCTTAACCTGAAGCACCACTTTAGCTAATGGGGCCTCCTGCTGCTGCCGCGCCGCCGGAGCACAATTTCTGTTCTCATCCTGAAGCAAAGTTCTTAACCTGAAGCACTATTTCTGGGCTAGCAGAGTCTGTAACCTGAAGCATATGCAGCCTAAAGCGTATGTAACCCGAGGTACCACTGTAGGGGACTTCTTTAAAAAAAAAACAACCAATATCCAGCTGACTTATAGTTTATGAACAGCTATTTCATATTATTTAAATGTGTTGCTAGTGAATTTTTATCTTTGTATGATCTTTCATGAAGCTTTAGCTGTTGCTGACTTTACAGTGAAAATGTCCATAAGATCTAATCTTTTCCATTTTGGTTCTCTCCTCTTTTAGAGTTTTGGGTTTGATATCCCGCTTTATCACTACCCGAAGGAGTCTCAAAGCGGCTAACATTCTCCTTTCCCTTCCTCCCCCACAACAAACACTCTGTGAGGTGAGTGAGGCTGAGAGACTTCAGAGAAGTGTGACTAGCCCAAGGTCACCCAGCAGCTGCATGTGGAGGAGCGGAGACGCGAACCCAGTTCACCAGATTACGAGACTACCGCTCTTAACCACTACACCACAATGGCTCTTTTAATCAGCTTTGGTTTGTTTTCGACGGAAAGGTAGGATGTCCACTCATATCCATGTCATACATTTACAACACTCTGATACCACTTTAACACAGTCATGGCTTTCCCCAAATAAGCCAAGAGTTTATTAGTGACCTCAGAGCTACCATTCTCAGCACCCTTAATTAACCAGGATTCCCAGGATTCTCTGGGGCAAGCCATGGCCATGTTAGAGTGGTAGAACTGTAGGGTGTGAATTTGATCTCCATAATTAACTGACTGGGGTCAGATTATTATTGTTGGTATTAATTGCTTTGGAGCCTGGATCTGGCCGCTGGATCTGGCCCACTGGTCACAAGTTGGACCATCATTATTCTAGGTACTACAAGGATATGTGCACATATCTTGAAAGATCTACATTGGCTCCCAGTATGTTTCCGAGCACAATTCAAAGTGTTGGTGCTGACCTTTAAAGCCCTAACCGGCCTTGGTCCAGTATACCTGAAGGAGCGTCTCCACCCCCATCGTTCTGCCCGGACACTGAGGTCCAGTCCTGAGGGCCTTCTGGCGGTTCCCTCACTGCGAGAAGCCAAGTTACAGGGAACCAGGCAGAGGGCCTTCTCGGTAGTGGCACCCGCCCTGTGGAACGCCCTCCCACCAGATGTCAAAGGGAAAAACAACTACCAGATTTTTAGAAGACATCTGAAGGCAGCCCTGTTTAGGGAAACTTTTAATGTTTAACATACTATTGTACAGTATTTTCATATTTTGTTGGAAGCTGCCCAGAGTGGCAGGGAAACCCAGCCAGATTTATAAACCCAGGGGTATAAATAATAAATTGTTGTTGTTGTTGTTGTTTACTCTGACTCCAGCAAGCTCCCACAACTGGTGTTTGTAGCTGAGTGCACATGAAGTGAGCCACACAATCCATATGCACCCTGTATTTCCTGAGAAGTGATCAGGTTTGTTGTAATTTCCCACAAACCAGCTTAAACACAAGTTGAAAATGCAAGCCACAGATAAGCTGAAGTGTGTACAGTTTGGACTCCCATTGCACATGTGCAGACAACAGCTTCCTAGAATAGGATTTCAGAGGAGTTGCAGGTACAGTGGTGCCCCGCAAGACGAACGCCTCGCAAGACGAAAAACTCGCAAGACGAAAGGTTTTTTCGTTTTCGAGTTGCTTCGCAAGACGAATGTCCCTATGGGCTTGCTTCGCAAGACGAAAACGTCTTGCAGTTTGTTTCCTTTTTCGTAAAACCGTTAAAACCCAGGGTGCATTGCTTGAAGAGGTGCAGTTGCGACTTGACCTCGAGGAGCAACACATTGCACGCGGTGTGGTGGCCTTTCTGAGCTTTTTAAAGAGTTTGCTGGATTTTTGAAGCTTTTCCAAAACTTCTTCTACAGCTGTTTGG